CTGTGGCTGCTGTGGGGGACAGAGGTGTGGCTCCCAAGCCAATGAAGTTATGTTTTCAGGGGGATTATAGCTGCCTCTGCTGCGTCATACAGGTCACCAGGGAAGTAAGGGAAAGCCAGCAGCGACAGGTCTCACCCAGATTTCATGCAGTCTGAAAGGGGAGTCTCTCTCTCCCACTGTGCCACACCAACAGCACTGAGTTTACTTAGACGTAGCTGGTGAGCAAGGCCGAGAACTAACCCTAGGATACAAGCTGCCCTGCTGAGAAAGCAAGCAGGGTTTCCAGGTTTCACACCTCCCTGCGTGCTGCAACTTCTGTACTGGTATCTGCATCCCAGTTCGCCCCCTCCCCCAGATTATGTCCGAGAAACTCTGTATTTAGTCAAAAGTGTTACAAAGTGCAGCTGGAAATGTCCTTCCCCACTGTGGTCTTTCCTCAATTTTACTGGCAGTCCTCCCCAAGGACCCCCATGAGACAAAGTCAGAAATGGCTTCCCTTGAAACCAAGAGTGCCCACAGCGCTCTTCCCGCTGCTTCCTCTAACCCCTTTATTTTGCTTGATTCTTTAAATTTATCTCATTTCCCAGTGAGGACTAATCCTTCTTCTGTGATCTGGACCTTCAGGTTCTCCAGTGAGCATGTGTGTTTGGGGCTGATGTTACCCCTCACACTTTTGCAAACTCACAGTTTTTCGGCTGTCTCACAAAGCCTGCAGAGACAAGCTGCTTCCTCCAAAGAGTCTGTGGATTCCCTTGGCTTTTCTCGTATGTTCCTGCAGTATTGCCTGGAGCAAAAGTTGACAGTGTAAATCTCCACATGCTGTTCTGTTTGTCTGAGTGGGAGCTGCAAGTTAGTCCTGCTTCCTACTTTCCCCTATTGCCATTTTTCGCCTGTTGTCCCCTGGGTTTTACAGTTTTTCCTATTGTCCCCAGGGCTTTACTTTTGAACCATGATCGTAACCTGAGAAACATGACCTTCATGAAACTGACAATTCAAAAATTCAAATCATAATAAAATATCAGGAGCTCTGTTTTCACTGAGTAAAAGAATAATTTTGGGTTATTTTTAATAATTAAATCAAAACATAAATATAATACCAAAGATTTGTTAATCAAACAGAAAAAAGTTAATTTCATAGGTGGCACTTTGGATTGGTTATCAGATGTAGATAATATTCGATTTTATGCAGCATGTGAGATTGGATTCCAAATAATGGTTTTAAAAATTTTCCTTAACCTTAAAACTTCTTTAAAAGAAAAACTGATAATTCCTATAGAGATTTTATGTAACCACAAATAAAACAGTATCAAGAGAAAAATTTAGTGACTTCTAAGGTTCATTGCTATGAAACAGAAAACCTATTAAGTACTAGTAATATAATTGATCCATATATTGACCACGACTGCCTTGAAATGTGTATATATTGATTTAAATGTCTGTATTGACAATTAATGCATTTACACAAAAATTTGTTCTAAAAGGTCTCAAATTTAATCTTTCTACTTTAATGTAAAATTAATCTTTTAATCTTTAAATTATCTAAGTGTACAAAGTAGAATAAACTAATTATGCTATATTAATGTAGAGGAATATTTTATAACTATTAAGATGTTCTGAAGTAATTTTTGTGACATAGGAAAATGTCTAATTAAGAAATGGGATAAAACTAGATATATCTTATGATCCATGCTATTTTATTGTGTCCATGCATATATAATTGCAAATTTGAAAAAAAATGTTAACAGAAGTTATTTTGCATGGTGGAATTGTGGGAGTTCTTTTACATTTTTATTTTATTAACATTTTCCAAATGTGCCATCATTAATATGTACCATTTTATAAATTTTTAAATAACCATCCCCATTTTGTATGGAAACTTCTTTGCGGTATATATGAAGAAAACATGTATGACACAATATCTAACTTGTCAGAAGAGGACGAGTATTTTATGTACACATTTTTTTCATTATTTGTAACTACTGAGTCATCGAAATCAGTCCTGGAAAAGGGCAGCTGGTCCATTTGAGGCCAAATGGCCAAGATGATCCATTACAAAAGAACTTTGAGAAAAAGATATCGCACGACAAGGCTTGAGAAGTCCTGATGCCGTCATATAGTCCTGATGACTATAGTTCTGTGGGTTTGCTTTTTTTAACATCAAGGTTAGGTCTCAAAGTTTCCTCCAAGAATGCAAGTGCATATGTGCATTGAGAGCTGAAAACACATGCCAATCTCATTCTTGAGCCTCCTGTTTTTGAAACCCTGCTTACTTACTCTTTTGGTTATATTTCTGGCTCTCATACTTGTAGAGATCCATCAGGATAAGAAAACATAGCTCAGGTCAACGCTTTGTTAATATAAACCCCTTGATAAAGCTTAACTATGTGTTTCTCTGAGAAGCCTAAATAATTCAAAGTATATGTTGAAATCCAGTTTCTTAGTTTTTCAGATGAATAGCAAACCACTTTGGATAAATCTAGTTTTTGCATATATTTCTCAGAGATTTTTTATTTTTCTCAGACAGAGTAAGAGGTACAGATTTTTGTTTGCTTCTTTGCCTTCTAAATTTCTCCAATAGCTTTGATTATTAAAAATGGAAATGAAGATACAGAAATAAATAGCAATCAAATCATCCTAGTGGAAGGCTATTTTCTGAATAGCCATAAAACGGTTTTGGAAGTGGTCTTCACTGCTTCAGATTCTTGTCTATATAGTAATATGAAAACATTTTCAACAATTCTCTGGAGACTGAAAGGGTTAAAATTTCTAAAACTGCTTAACTTAAATCAGGTGAGTGTTTAGGTGGTATGAAACTCCAACATATTTTTTAATTTATAGAAATACTGAAACTTGGCATATCATGTCTGAATGAACATAACATGAACATTCATTTATTCAAAAGTATGCTGCCTGCTCGGCATGGTGGCTCACACCTGTAATTCCAGCACCAGCAATTTGGGAGGCCGAGGCGGGCAGATCATCTGAGGTCAGGAGTTCAAGATCAGCCTGGCCAACGTGGCAAAACCCCATCTCTACTAAAAAATACAAAAATTAACAGGGCGTGGTGGCAGGCACCTGTAATCCCAACTACTTGGGAGGCTGAGGCAAGGAGAATTGCTTGAACCCAGGAGGCAGAGTTGCAGTAAGCTGAGATGGCACCATTGCACTCCAGCCTCGGCAACACAGTAAGACTGTGTCTCAAAAAAAAAAAAAAAAAAAAAGTACACTGCCTTTAGGAGATGAATGTCTTTGGGAAACAGTTTTTCGTCTCTCATCATTCTTATGAAGCAGCTCAAGAGAAGGAAGTGCAATACACATTGTAAATATGACAAAACAATAAACCAATTTGCTAATCTTACTACTACACAGGGCAAACATGATCCAAGTAGAAATAAACAATAGCTTTATTTATTCATTTGCATTATAATCTAATTAAATAAACTCAGCCTATCAACAAATAATTCATTTCTTACACTATAGTAACATTTTTTCAGGCAAATAACAGAAGTTTTTGTCTCATGGTGCAATTGCTGTAAGTTAAATTGATTCAATTTAATTAACAAGCATTTATCCAGAGCCTACTTGTGCACAGCACTATACTAGGCATACAAGAGAGTTAGAAGATATAACCCCTGCTCACAGAGAATTTACAATCAGAACAAGAAAGATAATCCATGCATTCAAAAAGTAATAAGGAACCATTACCAATCACATGAAAATCTATATAAATAATAGGCTCTGAAGTAAAGACACAAGAGCCCAAAGAATCCTAAAAAAGGAGTGACATTATTAAGGGTGAAAGCTAATCTGAAAAAGATAACCAGAGGAATAAAGTTTAGAATTGGCAGGGAAACAGTGCAATTATTCTATGGCCAATAGAGTTTCTCCTTCTTTTCAATCATCAGTAGATGATGATTGAAAAGAAGGAGAAACTAAGAGACAGAATCATAAAAAATAGCAAGTCAACTGCAGGGAATGGCAGGCAAATTGGCTTAGCTTTGGAAAGGCACACTGAGTTAGGAGATGCAATTGAAGTCATACAACAAGGCTAGTGAGGGCATTGAGTGTTACTATTTAAATTCAATTCAAAGTGTGAATCTACAATAATGCTTAAACATATCTATATATTAAAGCCCTCAACAGAAGTGTGTTTACCTAACCTTAACGAAAAGCAAAGAAAAAAATTATAGAATATTAGAATCTAAGTTTACAGGATATGATTATTAGAGTAAGTAATTAGACAAACATAGGCAGGGCAAGAGAGGGCCCCCTCAGCCCACAGGAATGGCAGGTGGCCATTAGTTGCTGGTCAGGTGGTTTTTAAACTCTCTCTTTAAAATAATAATTGGTGGCAGCCAGTGCCAGGGAAAGGCAGGCTCCCAATAGACAGAAAACACCTGAGCTGGAGATCTCAGGAGTTGGACAAGTGGGCTCAAGCATGTGCACTCAGCAAAATGGCAGAGTTTAACTGGTATATGACCTTCTTCTAAGAATGCTGGAATGGTAAGGGAAAATGCCACAAGTGAACATGCACACAACTTCAGTAACACATTGTGCGCATAGCTCCTCCCAAGTGGTGGCAGGCCACTGAGCACACAGAGAGCCCATCTCCCCAAAATAGCAGGGGAGGAGAAATGCAAACCCCAGAACCATGCCAATGTATAAAACCCCAGGTCAAAAGCTGAACAGGGCAGTTGGAACTCTCAAGCTGCCCACTTGGCTTTCTTCCAAGTGTACTTTATTTCCTTTTGTTCCTGCCCCAAAACTTTTTAATAAACCGCTCCTGCTCTAAAACTTGCCTCAGTCTCTCCCTCTGCCTTAAATCTACTTCTGCCCCGCAGCTGATTTCTTCCCTCCAAGGAGGCAAGAATCCTATCAAGTTTGATGTATTTTGTATGGATTCACCGCCAACATAATCACTGGAAGACAAATGAGCATGAGCAGACTGAGGTAACAGCAGTCATTTATGACGTCTTTCCTTTTTGTTTTTTAACTTCAACTCATAAAAAGTTAGGCTGTATAAGACTCATGTACCGTCTCAAGGTAAGAGGTCTTCAACTCAGTGCTACCCAAGCCCCAATTCACATAGGATTTTATTTATAAAAAGCCTATTTCTCTTCATACTGAACCCAGCACCAAATACAAAGGTTTTAGGTATATATTTGCGGGGGGTAGGGGTGGGGAAGCGGGTAGAAAAAAAGAGAAAATAAGGTATTGGTTTCAAAAAGTGAGTTAATGAATGATTACGAGTACTTTTTTCGCAGATATTTCTGAACTTAGAGGAAAAAGGATGAAATATTTTTGCTCTCAGTTTAAGAAAACTAAGGCAAAAGAAATGTATAAAATGAAAGTTCATATAAGTAATTTCTTTTTAATTAATCCACCAACGAAACCAGTAAATTGTATTGCTGGATCACACCCACTTCTAAAATCAATTGGTTAAAAAAAAAAAAAAAAGTCACGAAATGGAGCAGGGGAGAGAGTTGCTGCACAGAAACAGCTTCTGAATTTGGAATAAGGTGAAGATTCTTTTTGCTCAGGTAGGATTCATGATGCCTTGATTGCCCGGAATGACCTCGAAAATCCATCAGGGGTAGAACAGGAAAACAGAAGTTCCACAGTACTTGTTCTCTGGGCCTTCACAGATTTGAAACAGCAAGGCAAAGTGAACCTTTTCTGGGTTCTCAGGATACTTATGACTGGCCACCAGCAGCTGCAGCTGTTAAAAAAAAAAAAAGAAACAAACAAACAAAAAAACAGTGAGAGAGAGAGGAAGATGAAGAGGATGAAGAAGAGGCAAATAAAAATGTAGCTTTCAGTGTGCTTAATGGTTCTGAATGAGGTGGCCAAAAATAAAAAAATCTGTATTGTCCCACAATATTTAGCATTTTTATGTTCAAAATATTTTCATGTTTCTTAGTTTGCAAAGTCTTCACAAATTCTAAACAAGGGAAAATGAAAGTACTACTTTTTTTTGGTAACATTTATATATTATTTCTTATGTGATAAATAGATAAATGTATTCCTTTCATATTTTTTCAATAAAAGAGTTCCTCATTTTTCAGTAGATATTCAGTAGGTATTTACTGGGTAGCCATACACATTATGGAAACATATCAGATGAATAGCAGCCTATAGCATTATACTATCATTTAAAACAATAAACATAACAATAAGCCTTAATTAGAATTTAGATCTTATAAGTCAGAATTTTCCATTCTTAACCACTAATTTGATAATATTAAATTATACAAAAGCGCTGCTGGTATGTGTGATGTGTGTGCTTCGAACACTTCATCTTCTGCAAAGACTAGACAATTCTAATCAATTGTCTACCACTAAGGTAGACTCCATCCCAGACTCCATTTAAAAACAATACCCCAGGTAAGCACTGTGGGATGAACAGAGTGAAGATGGAGATAAAACCATTGCTCTCCTGTTGTAGGAAATACAAAGATTTCCCTAAACTGCAGAGGTAAATACACTGAATTGAACTTTCACCCTTTCACAAACATGACAGTCAAGAAATTTTGGGGGTGTTGGGGAGGATGGAGGAGGTTGTTGCATAAACCTACAAGGAAGGGGAGAATAGGAAAAGAGACGATGATAAAATTTTAGAAGCTGGAAAGCAGACAGATTAGTGATACATGACTTATCAATTCTAAGAAACTGAAAAGCTAAGCCAGGGGAGGAAAAAGACAGTAAGCAACATAATCTACACACAAAATCTCCAAAATTCTCAGTAATGCACAGCAACAGGTACCTCTGGAAGTCAGGAACCAATACAAAGAGGATGTTTTAGCTGTCCATTTAAGAAGCAGTCAAGCTTGGTGGGGCAAAGGGGTGGGGTTATTAAAAAACGAAGCAGCAGCCGGGAGCGATGGCTCATACCTGTAATCCCAGCACTTTGGGAGGCCAAGGAGGGCAGATCACAAGGTCAGGAGTTCGAGACCACCTTGGCCAATATGGTGAAACCCTGTCTCTACTAAAAATTCAAAGTAATTAGCCAGGCGTTGTGGTGCATGCCTGTAATCCCAGCTACTAGTGAGGCTGAGGTAGGAGAATTGCTTGAATCTGGGAGGTGGAGGCTGCAGTGAGCTGAGATCATGCCATTGCACTCCAGTCTGGGTAACAACAGCGAAACTCCGTCTAAAAAAAAAAAGAAAAAAGAAAAAACAACAACAACAAAAGCAGCAGCAGTTAAAAGTCTGAGATTTGAGATGGGCTTCACTTGGTACAAATGAATAATTGCTCCCCTGCCCCAACTGCAGCCTTTAATCTGGCAGAAGGCCAGAATAATTTTTTTTTCTAAAAAGAGTAAAACAGAGATGCGTCTGGGCTAGAAGACTACAAGGAGTGCCGCAGTAAAAACAGGGGCCAAGTGAGCATTTGTAGGCTGAATGCTGAGTCCTGCCCGTGTTGATTTTCCCACGCAGGTGCTACAGGTTTGCTGGGCAATCCTTTACTCCCTGGGCAGGATTTCAGAAGTAATTTTTCTTAAGAATCTGATCAGCCTAAAAGGAAAAGCCTAAAAATACTGACAAGGGGGGCAGCAGCAGCCCAGGCAGAGTCCTCCAATGAGGATCTGCCCACGAGCCCCACCCACTTGCCTAGAGCTTCCAAACCCACCTTTGCCTCCTACCCTGAAATATGAGCTGAGAGTCACAAAGCAGGGTATCACCAAGCAAGGGGGAAAGAAAGGACAAAACAGCTTAGAGAAAACAGACTATCAAAGGCAAGAAAATGTCAAAAACAGTTATTAATATTTTCATAAAGACAGAACAAGTCATTGCAGCCATTGAACAAGGATAGCATGCTGTTTAAAAAAGAATTAAAGAAGAAAACAGCTTGCAGAAACTAAAATTATAATAGCAAAAGTGAAGAGGCAAAGAGAAATGTTAAAATTTAAAGATAAGGAAATATTCATAGGTAAAGCAAAGAGACGGGGAATGTAAGGATGAAAAATAAATAATAGGAATTCTACATGCAAAGAAAAAAAACAACAGAAAATGAATGGAAAGAATTCATAAAAATTCCCTGCAACCAAATAGCAGAAGAACCCACTGATGAGTACACAAGGAATAAAAACAGATCCATGCAAGACACATCATCATGAAATTCAGAACATGCAGATAAAGAGACCCTATTGCGTTCCAGATTGGAAAACCAAACAATCAAAAACACAAGTTGCTCAAAAAAGACTAGAATCACAATGGCTTTAAACTTCTCAATAGCAATAGTGGAATACAGAAGGCAATGGGAAACCTCTGAAAAAATATTATTCCGAAGGGATATTATTTCTAATATAATTAGATGAGTATTTTCGACACTCAAACTACCAGTCAAAAGGGGGAGTAAGAGAAGGACAATTTCAGACATGGTCTCAGAAAATTTGCCTCTCACGCGCCGTTTCTTACCCACAAAATGTGAGCAAACCAAAACAGGGGAAGTTGGAGAAAATGGAAAACACGACATCCAAAACAGGATAGAGTGACAGAGATCCTGCTGAATGACAGTGAAGAAAAATGAAAGGATGACAGCTGTAGCCCATACACCAGCTGAAATTGGAGAAGTTCGGAAGATTCTGGGAAAGATTTCTCCAAGGAAATGAAATGGATAGATAACGCAGTATGTCTGAATATATTGAGATTATAATTCAATCAATAACAGAGATTTGGAAATTAAATGAATCACTGAAAAAAATATATATAAAAAAGAAAACGTTTAAAAATAGAAATTATGAATCCTGAGAAAATTTAAAACTATGCACAAGTATCATCGTTTACTACTTAGCCCAGCTGTGAAGACATTGTGTGTCCATAATAATGTATACTGGCCTAACCAAAATAATAATATAACTACATAGTAGAATGCATAAAGAGACTGGGGCAAAAGTCTAAAAACGTTTTAAGAATTACCTATTAAAATTTATTATCTCTATTGTAGTTATTATCTCCATTATTACCTACAAAGGATATAATAATTTTAATAGATAACACTTCAAAGTCAAGAAATTACAACAAAATTAGGCAATTTGGAGATAAATATCTAAAAATCAATTTAAAAACTGAAAGTGTCTTGGGGTAGTTGAGTGTATGGGAGGGGAAGAGAGCAGAATTAATGTAGGAGGCGGAAGAAGATGGTGTTTTTCATGATAAACTTTATAGAATTGTGAAACTCTAAATAAAAAAACTCTAAATTGTGCACACATGCAGCTTTGATTTGAAAAATTAAAAATTTTATTTAAAAAGTCTGATAACTGTACAGCACTGTAATCATTTAATTCAGCACCCAGCATTTAGCCTTACATTTCTGCATGCTAGATAGAAAAGAGAGAGGAAAAAGAAAAAAGGCTAAGTATGAAGAAGGCAACAAAAGCAAGTCTTGAACATGTTGTTTGGGGCCACCCAGCATCTTTGTCCTCTTCTCTTAGGTAGGTGTGCCCCTCCCCAGTGCATTTCATGTGTCAGGAAAACTGACCAATCCCAGGTCCAAGGGTGGGTCCTGACTCAGACAAGTATGGTAAGTTACATTGACTGGCATAGGAATGGACACCTGACCCATTTGGGGCCAATCGGAAAGAAGGAGAGATTGAGGAATTTCTAGGAAAGAAGTTTTCCAGTCTGAGGACATGGCATTGGAAGTTGCTGCATCCATTCCTGCTGCCATAAAGGTCGGCCAGTGTGAAAGGAGGTTAACTTCAGAGATTCCCAGAGAGGTGGGCTCAGACCTGACCCTCTTCTAAGAATAAAAACTACCCTGAAGTCTGGGCACGGTGGTTCATGCCTGTAATCCCAACACTCTGGGAGGCAAAAAGGAGAAGATCACTTAAGCCCAGGAGTTCAAGAGCATCCTAGGCAACATAGCAAGACCTCATCTGTACAAAAAGATTAAAAATTAGCTGGGCATGGTGGCGTGCACCTGTGGTCCCCACTACTCAGGAGGCTGAGAAGGATCACTTCAGCCTGGGAAGTTGAAGCTGCAGTGAGCTGAGATCATATCACTGCCCTCTAGCCTGGGCCACAGAGCCAGATTATAACTCAAAAAAAAAAAAAAAAAAAAAAAAAGTGGCCTGAAGCCATACATACCATTTCCCTGCATTTGTGTGACCAAAAAAATTACTCTTTCTTAATTAAACTAATTTGAGGGTTTTCTTACTTACAGTGAGGAAACAGTCCTACTAATATAAAGAGTTTTAGGAGTGAGGTAAAGGTTGGAAAAGATTTTCATTAAAGTTCATAGGTATCACCTTTCCATGGGGAACTCAAAGCATAGTATTAATTTTGGCACCTAGAAGTTAGCTTTATTCTAAGATTTTTAAAATTAAAGAGGTTTAAAAAAAAAGAAAGAAGAAAGAAAGTTTAATAAATTAGAAAGGGCTTCTGGCAATCAGTGAACCCTCTTGGGATCTTCTCAGCATATCCTTCCATGTATGAAAATAGTCAACATGGGCAGGAGAGCATCTGCATTTGTATCTGCTGTTTGTATATGACTATATGGGGGACTTCATTTTCTGTGCATTTTCAAGATCACTTTCAAAAATCATTACTGCCAAGTTTACATGCCAACATTTTCATTTCTCTTTTTTTTCGTCCAATTAGAAAATAAACAAATCCCCTGGATGTGATGCCTGAGAAGGGCTAAAAAGGTGGAGGGTAAGGACTGTTGCATGACTTGCTGACGGCAATAATGCCACTTGCCATCCAATGGAGAAAAAGCAAAAAAAAAAAAAGAAAAGGAAACATAAACCTATCTCCAACCTGCTCGTGCAGCTGCCATTTTCTTGTTTCGCATTTTGTTCTCCAAAGCTTGCTACACAATAAAAAATGAGAGAAAAAAATTAGATTTCCCAGTGCTTTCTACTACTTACATTAATAAAGATAATATTTCTATGAAATAAATTGTATCTTACCATTTTCATCTTCTTTTTTAGATCCAGATTCGCTGCCTTCTGGCCCTTGGCAGTAGCATTGAGATAATAGATAGTCAAACTAAATTAAAAAGAAAAAAGGATATGATTTAGGGTATTTTTCAGTTCCCCAGAATACATCTTAAATTTCCATTAATTTAGTTATGAAATATCAGCATGGGAATGAACATTAAGTTATTTTGTACTGTAAATCTCTTGTCTTATAGATAAAAGCTGAGGTCCAGAGGTAAAGAGACACACTCAGATGACAGAGGGATGAAGCTGGGGTGAAGCTGGAAAGCTGGGGTCCAAGGCTCCTGATCCACAGCCTGCTCTGTCTGCTATTTCACACTGCCTCATATTAGCTTCTTCCTAGAAATGTATTAACATCTGTTTAAATTATAATTGAAAGTAGCATTTTAAATGGTTGGCAATGGCATCCCAGAGAATTGAAAACCTACTGCAGTTTAGGGAATATGTCGAACAAAAAGGAAAACGACTTTCTGCCTTAAATTTTGTCCTTTGGCCTTTGCAGCTAAGAATATAATCCTCATAGGCATAGATAACGAACATGGAATTTTTTCCGTAGAATGCATTGTTTGCATTTACTTCTCCCTCAAAAAGAAAATGTTGTATAAAGGAATATTCTTGGATTTTAAATAACATTTACATTCTAGAAAGGGCAAATTCTAGCCAGACAATTCTGTAAAAATAAATATGCTTACCTTCACTTAACGCAAAATGAACAAACAAACAAAGAAAAAATGCAGTAGAAAAGGTAACTTACTCTTTGCTGCAAATAACTGGATATTGAACATATTTCCTCTACTCCCCAAAATGCAAGACAATATTCTTTATGAGCCATCTGGTTCCAGCAACATCATGATTGACATGGTTTGGCTGAGTTTGTTTATCTCTTACATGAGTGATAGGAATTTAGCTAAGATTACATACATAAAAGCATGCAGGACAATATCTGGCATGAAACAGGTGCTCAATAAATGTGTGTGTGTGGTGTATTATAAGGATTTTCTTAGAAAAGTTCCTGGATTTGGAGGATGAACTCAAAAGATTTCACAAGTCATTTTAAGTTCTGGAATTCTCTATCCACCATGTTTTTCTGCCTTATAATGCACATTAAATAAATATTCCTCACAAATCTTTTCCTAGTCTCTAAAGGAATGAAATTGCCTGCAGAGAGCTAACCTGAAGTCTGCTTAGATACCCAAAAAACATCCAGGTTAATTTAATATAATCCACTAGGGGAAATTCAAAATACTAGCACAACTCTCTAAATAAAGGTAATAAAAAGCTAAACCAATTGTATGGGCCCCATAAAGTAGAAGATGAGATTTCAGAATTTGAAAAAATAAAATAAGCAATAAACTAAAATTTGAGTTTTAAATCAGAACCTCAGAGCTACAATCAACCTTTCAGGACATCTATTTGACACTTGCATGCTCCCAGCTTTTCACCAGGCTGTCCAGATCAAAGCAAACTAGGTCCTGCAGGCTGAAAAGGACCACCAGACTGTTTTGTATGGCCCATGAACTAAGAATTGTTTTTCTGTCTTTAGATGCTTATATTAATAACAACTTAATTAGACCCTCAATTTTGCCTCTTGGCCTAAAATGTCTGCTATCTGATCCTTTAATTAGAAAAAGTGTGCTGAGGCTGGGTCTATACCATCTCTATCAAATGGCTTTCAGCCCATCTGGAATTCCCACTGATTCTGATCCCTGTTTGGTGCTGCAAGTGAGTGTAGGAAATAAGTGTGAAGAAGAAGACCTGAATTTAAATTCAGGTCTTAGTCACTTGATTGGGACCTAACTTCAATGTGTTATTGATAGTATGATTAATGAAGCCAACTTCTCAAGGCTGTTATGGGAATTAAACAAGTCAGTGTAAAAACAGTGCCTGAAACAAGGCAGTGTTCCTTTTAAACACTCTTAGGACCAATTACAAAATCTTTGGATTAAGGCATTTGAACAATGCCACTCCTTTACTTAAAAACAAAGATATCTCTGAATAAATTAAGAATATAGTAACAAAATCTGACATTTACATTGTGATTGTGTGTGTGTGTGTGCGTGCATGTGTGTGCGTGTATGTGTGTGTGTGTGTGTTTTAAACAACATCTCATTTATAGCACTACAGGGCCTTGACTCTTAAAGGCTACAGGATACTGATTAATATGCTCTCAGAAGCCACTGTATCATGGAAATATAGAGAAAGAAAATCGTTTCAAAGGCCATCTGGTGAAACATGCTGCATTCAGTGGTCATTTTCTAATCCATCTGTGCCAGAGATTTACTATCACGTTCTTAACAGCACCCCATTATCAAGGTTATATAATATATAATGGTAATCTGATTTACTGTTTAATTATCCCTTCAGGTTATTAGCTCTCCCTCACAGAAAGAATCCTGGTAAAAAGACGTGAGCACTGGATTTACTGTCAAAGGATCTGCTTTAGCTCACACTATGACCATTTTACTCTCTATCTCTCTCTTTCTTTCTCCCCACCCCGCCCTCGCCTAGGGAAAATCACTTTCTTTCTGTAAGTCAAATTCTTAGGTAATAAAATTGACGAAGATAAACCTGCCCTCACTACTTTATGTGGCTTGTGATCATGACAGTAACTGGGTCAAAATCCCTGCTCATTTACTGCAAACCACTGTGAGTTCTCTCCCTGAGATTTCCTCGCCTTACCTTTATTTAAATGAACCCAATCCTTTGCATCAACTTTGTTCCTAAAGTGTCCTTGGTGTTGTTTAATATTTACCCAATGACTGAGAGTCACGGCAGTTCCAGGTGTTCTATGTAGGAGGCACTCGGGGACTTGAAAGGAAGAGCCAGACACTGCGTTTGGCTATTCCACAGCAAGTCAATACTTTTACTCAGAGTCTAAGTTTATCTGTGGTGGCCAAGAGTCAGAAGCCAATGAACGTTATATGAAAACAAAAGTCATCTGCCAAGCTCCCCTTTTGAAATCACTTCTGAGTTTCAAGGGACAGACTACAGAAACTTCCCAAAACCCTCTGGTCCTTGATTCTATTATGGTGAACACACAGTTATTGGTAGCCCTCTAATAACAAGCACAGGGCAATTTTTAAGATCCTTTAAGCCCTTGACCCTAAAATATAGACTTTAGGGCCCCCAAGGGGAATATTAACTTACAGGCTCATTATTTCTGTATATTCATAGCCATCTGCTCTATGGAACAAGAGGTGGAGGCCAGGTTGTTGAGGGAAAGCTCAATGTCCTGATTAGATTAAGCATTTAGCATTTATATTTCCCTTGCTTTAGCTGTTTACAGATAATTATTTTGGTTACTTGGGAACAAATCTTATAATCCTGGGGAAGCAAAGACAGATGCAGATGGCTGTGAATTACATCCAATAGGATCAGAATATGGCTCATGAATTTTAGCCTCTCACCACCATGTAATCAGTGTTGAATTTGGGTAAGTTACAGCACAACCCTTAGGGAGAGTGAAAGCGCTTAAAAAGCTGAAAAGTAAAAGCATCCAGGAAGAACATCACAAAGCCTCCTTTCTATGAGGAGGGAAAGCACGTACGCCATCACCAAAATGACAGCAATGACCAGCCCAGGGTTGGAAAGCTGTCTCAAGATCTTCGCCATCCAGCTTGGGAAATCATGCTCCAGGGTCTCTCCAATGACTTCAAACATTCTATTTTTGCCACTGGGGGAATTAAAAAAGGGGAGACAAGTTTATTAAGAACATATGGAAAAACCATGGTTACAGGAAGAAAACTGTAACTCTTTCCCCATTACTGCTTAGGTCCTCTTTCAGGTTAGGAATCTGATGTTTAGTTACAACTGCTGACACACTGACCTCATGTGGTCAATAGACGGGTAAGATATGAGAAATATGATCCCAATATAAACATATACTCAAAGCAGTTATGAAAGTAACCACATACGTAGGAGGAGATTTTTTAAAAACTGTATTTCTAAGATTTTTCTTGAAATATGTTTTGTAAATAGCTCGTAAGTCTGCCTCTCAGTCAGCTGTTCTTGCAGGAGAACACACTCTTTGAGCTAAGTAAACAGTGCACTCAATTTTTAATTAGCCTTGGAAATGAGAGCAAGGAATAGCCCAGTGGAATAAAATCCACATATAATCCAATATCTTTCCACGCAATAGCTTCCATCTCATTTTCCACCAGACCTCCTTCAGCAGATATGTTAATAGGTAAGGTAACCACACCGAATAAAGGATTCTTTCCCTCTCAGTTTCTTCTCCTGGACAGGCCCGAATGAACACCAGCTTAGCTCTACTGCTAAAGGCCATGAAGGCCAGTATCAGCCAGTATCTATAAACTAGAAAGATGAGAACAGGATGTCTTGACTTACAATAGAATAGCTAGAATTGTACCATAATATTCATTATACCATTATTTTTTCTGTATATGCATATTTATTTTACTATGAAAAGATGAATTTTCAGAAGAGATTTGGATTGGGTTTCGCCAAATTGTATGCATCTTCAGAATAAATGTGGGTGCAATATGTAATATAATGGTTAGTTTTGCTTTTGTATTTTAATCTTTAAGCATTTTCAACTACCAATGTGTGTCATTGTTAGACACACAAGTCAGTCCCAGATTATTTTTTTTCTCCATATCTAACCAATACTATCTTCGAACAGACAGAGTGACTCCAAGTATTTTGTCAGTAGTCATTGGACTACAGAGGTAAAAGTTTTGCTTCACAAATTAAAGCTCTACATCCTAATTTTCAAGATCTATGATACATAAGAAGGAATGAAGCTTACAAGCAATATAAGATTATAACACCCTATTCCAGTAAGTTTTATTTTTCACCATTCCATTCTAATTGTTCAAACCCCCCAACACAACCTTAGCCAGATGGAATACAGGATAAGCAGATAAATTAAAAGAACCAAAAAAGATAAGACCCTCTATCCTCCCTTCTCCTGTACCTCAGGTTATAGCTGATGGATGTGGTTCGAGTGGGGGGATTCAAATTTTATGAAATTATCTCTACCCACAAAGGCCTTCTCAGCATCCACTGTGACCCAAAGCAAAACTGCTGAGTCCCTGGGGATTCTTGTATATCTTTTTCATGTCAGGCCTGTTACCAAACAAAGGAGTCCAGATACCTTAATTACATACAAACTATAGAAGCATCTACAAATCCTTGGCAATGCCTTCTCCTGCCAGGTTAGCCAAAGTGTGTTACTACACAATATACTCAGAATTCTTTTCCAGTTGTCTGTGCCTACCCACAGTCCTGCTGTAAGCATAGTGCCACTCTAGATTAGAACTGCTTATGAGGAGGCCTGTCTTCCCAGCTGGGTGATAAGCTTCACAGGACCAGAATCAATGCTTAATGCACGGACTTAACCCTTTGTTTCCTCTAGTGCTTAGTGCACAATATGCAGACATTATTCATTCATTAATTCAAACTATTGATCAGCACTTTACTGTGTCCTAGACCTATGAGATGAAAATGCGCTATCCCCAATCTCTACAAGTCAACAAAACTATTAAGAAAAATAGATGCATAAAGCATGATTGCAAAAGAGTAATATAATAGCAGTGTCACAATATAATGCTAACTTTTAAAACTAAAAACCTGCACCTAGTATACTGATAGGAACAGGAAGAAGCCAAATGCCTACGCAGATAGGGGCAGGTACCTGGTGAAACACCACCTCCAAGCCAAAGACAGTTTAAAGCCTGAAAGCCAAGCTACAAGTTAACTCCTCAGACCAGTTTGAGAACTTGTCTTCCTGTTTGGGGCACTTTCCTTTGATTGATCCCCTATACAGGGGAAAACCAATTAGGATAGGGTAGGTATATGTAATGTGCTGTTGTCTACTTTTGAGTGATATCTTCATTTCAACCTTTTTTGCATACTCACAAACCAATCAGCACACATTCTCCATCCTGTGCCTGTAAAGACTACAGACTCAGTTGGTAGAGGGGAGAGACAGCCTGACTTTGGGGAAGAGACAACCTGACTTCGGGGAAGATGACCTGCCCCTCCTGGCCCCTCTCCAACTCCCCTCTCTGCTGATAGCCAATTTCATCACTCAAAAAAATTCTCCACCTTCACCATCCTTCAATAATCTGTATGACCTCATTCTTCTTGGATGCCAGACAAGAGCTCGGGGCCCACCAAATGTGGGTACTCAGGAAAAGCTGTCACACTGGCCCTTTGCCCTCCCCGGCAGAGGGCAGCTGCCCCATGTAATGAGGCAAGGGGCCAGCTGAGCTGCTAACACACTGCCATCCATTGGGCTGAGGATGGTGGAGCTGAGGAAGCACTGTAACACCCCCTCTGGGACTTCAGAGTCATGGGCATCCTCACTTGGGCACCACTGCGTTCCCCTCAAGGTGACACAACTAGCCTGGCCATGGGCCCCACACGGAGCTTGCTCTTGTGTCAGTGCAGGCCATGTCTAGCCAGATCCTGCACTCGCCTGCTCACATACTTCCTCCCATAAGGGGTTAACCACAGCAGGCCGAGTAGACAGGGTGCCCCTCTGTGAGTCCAGCAAAGGAGCTGAGGAACATCCTGTATCCATACAATCTCAGTTATGAAAAATTATGCTTAAAAGGCAAACCAGAGCATAAAATGCTAAAACATTATTTCAGGTTTCCGAGATTATAGGCAGTGTTTCTTTTCATGTAAAAATGTTTCTATAATTTTTAGGTTTTCTAGCATAAGCACATATTATCTTTGCAGTAAGATGAATATACATGAAAAATAAAATTGCCATAATGTAAACACAGACATGTATAAAAACCTAGAGAACCACAAATTGTTCAGAAATATTGACATAGATGAAAGGAAACATCAGTGTCAGGAAATGAGATAGAACAATTAGAATTGTCTTCATCTGCACATCAAATAAATAGTTTTTAAATTGTCAACTGTTTAAGATAAATCCACTGGCCACCCTGTTAGAATAATTTCTTGGAAAATTTACCCTCTCTAGCCAGGTCTTATTAAAACCAGACAAGCTAGAATATCTCATCAAATTGCTTCATTGAATGGATAAATGTACTATAGCCATCTTACCTGAAAACTTTCCTGCACTGGAGAGCAACTAGCCATCACTGTGATACCTCCAGTAACCTAGTTCAGATTCATTCTTTCTAAATTGCTGCTTGCCCAGGAGCCAGATAGAGTCAGACAACCTTCACCAGGAAGGTTAAGCAAATCACCTAAAACTCAGGGTTAATAAAGATGACAAACCATGAGGTACCTACTAATACAAGCATTCTCACTTCATTTCTAGAGCAAAACAATCCTTTCAAACTTTTAAGTCCAGACTAACAAACAATGTCAATATCCTTTGGCTCCAAAATGAGGAAACCGATAGGAAAAAAAAAAAAAATCTAAATAGCATAGCGATATCCCTTCCGAGTACTCCACTGAAAATATTTAAATTTCCCTGATTTCTCATAAATAACCCTACAGAACTGACTCAAGTAACCAACACTACCAGTTCCCCAATAACCAATGGAAATTAAAAAATAAATAACTAATTAAAAAAATAAAAAAATAAATTTCCCTGATTTCAAAATAATGATTTATGTGCAGTAATTTTTCCTAAGTTTGCCAATTAGAAAACTCTTGGTCAAAGTCAGATACTATGGCTTAACACAAACTATTTTTTTTTTTTCAGTAAAAATCAGAGTAAATCAGTGTGTGACATAAGGAAAGCCAGAAGAGTTAGGGCTTAACAAGCTGAAATTGGGCAACTATCGTTCATGTCTAACTCAATGGTATTGTAAATCTGAATGCATCTGTGTAACCACCACCCAGATTCATGTTTACATTGTGTGGTTGCCCTAACAGACAGCTAAGGTCCTTTGCTATGTTTTACTGAGAAGGATCAACTTCCAATTAATAGCTTAATGCAGACCTCAACTTATCTTGGATAATAAGTTGTGTGAAAAATTTGCAATTAACTAAAGCCTTTGAATGGCATATTTCTTGAAATTTGTACTCTGAGATTGGTCAGGGATTTATTGAGATGATGTCTCCATCAAGACTGTAATTTCATATTTAGTCTCCAGATGTCACTGTCTGCATTATTTATTTCAGCCCACTTGGAAACACACACACACACACACACACACACACACACACACACAGAGGAATTAACAGAGCTTGTCAGCATCAGTTTTCTGAGCAGACAGAGCTTTAGTTGGTTTAGCTCAATCAGCTGGCTTAATATTTTCTCTGTTTTCTGGCAAAGCAATAACTCAAACTACTGTTAGAGTGAAAATGTCTCTCATATACTTAGTCTGTTAGCAATGAACATTTTGACTTTAATCAAATAACGGGTCTGACAACATAAAGGCAGAATTATATGTAGGCATTACAGCATCATGCATATAATTCACATGGCTGTGTTTTTTTGAAATAGATTCACTCTGTTACCAGGCTGGTGGAGTACAGTGGCACGATCTTGGCTCACTCCAACTTCCGCCTCCTGGGTTCAAGTGATTCTCCTGCCTCAGCCTCCCGAGTAGCTAGGATTACAGGTGCACGCCACCACACCCAGCTAATTTTACATTTTTAGTAGAGAAGGGGTTTCACCATGTTTGTCAAGATGGTCTCAACCTCTTGACTTAGTGATCCGCCTGCCTTGGCCCTACAGGCATGAGCCACCGCGCCCGGCCCACATGGCTTTTTACAGTCTTGTTTTCTTCACTGAAAAGGAGAAATAGCTCAAGAGCATGCTGGCAAGTGACTCAACATGCAGAGATTCTTGGGAGAACTTGTGGTAGAATCATTTCTAAGACCCTTTAGGGAAAGAAACCTCATCCTCTAGATCCCATGGACTTAGCTTTCTGATATGTGTCATAGAGGGAAGAGAATGCTGCCATAGAGAACTGTGGAAATGTACATCTCTACATTGGATCAAGGACCCTTTGTGACTCTTGATTCCTCATTTGAGTGATAATTAGGAGAGAATATATATGTGGAACAGCCTTAATTTTTTTTCACTAGCATGTGGCATTTTGGATAACAAATTGGGTGGCCCTCTTTTTTTTTTTTTTTGAGATGGAGTTTTGCTCTTGTTACCCAGGCTGGAGTGCAATGGCGCGATCTTGGCTCACCGCAGCCTCCGCCTCCTAGGTTCAGGCAATTCTCCTGCCTCAGCCTCCTGAGTAGCTGGGATTACAGGCGTGCGCCACCATGCCCAGCTAATTTTTTGTATTTTTAGTAGAGACGGGGTTTCACCATGTTGACCAGGATGGTCTCAATCTCTTGACCTCGTGATCCACCCACCTCGGCCTCCCAAAGTACTGGGATTACAGGCGTGAGCCACCGCGCCTGGCCCAGGTGGCCCTCTTTATGCTCATTAGTATTTAATAATGATTCCTCTAGGTAAAGTGTGGGGTATTCTCTGTCTCTTTCCTTCTCTCTCTCTCTCTCGTTCTCTCTCTAATGATACACATGAGAAGTAGCGATAGCTGATTGTCTGGATGTGATGGCCCTGAGTCAGGCAAACTCACATCCAGACCAGTGTCATCAGACCTTGCTCTTAGCTATCTCCTAACATGGAAATAGCTCAGATTCATCATACATAGTTTACCCAGGCAGAGCCTGGAAAATGATAAAGTATTTTCTCTTTTATGATTCCCAAATGCGGAAATAGATAGAACTTGCCTAAGAATCTCCATGTCACCTAATGAACCTGAATACCCAAAGGGTCTCATTTCTACCAACCAAAAATGCCATTGTTTGGGGAATAAAAATAGCTTATAAAATGAATGGCCATTCCCACCTCTACTCCTGAAAGAACACCATGACCAGGTCAAATTTCAAAAACAAGAGACCTGAAGGGACCACAATCAAAAGATGGCGGGAGGGACACGATCATGTACAACACAGGCATGGTGGACAGGAAGAGGATGAGCAGTAGCATGCCCAGGTAGAAGTTATTCGATCTGGAAGCTTTGAAGACCCTGGCCTCAGGAACATTGCAGCACATCACGGCCCAGCACTGGAAGTACATGGATGTGTGGAGTCGAAGGATATTGATGCCTGGGAGACTGGGAGCAAAGAAGGAGCCCATCCTAGAAAGAAAACAGAACTCTGCTTAATTTTGAGTCTACCCTATAACAAAATCACACTGCACCTTGACTACCACTTTCAACCACACAAATCCTTTTCATAAACTGCATTTTTCTATTTCCATCTTCTAAACACATTTTGCCATTTTCCATATTATTGTAGGAATTGCATATCATAATTCTTTCATAGATAGGATGCTGTTAACTAACTCTACCTACTATCATTAGTGAATTTAAACTACAACAGAATAAACAATATTTATAATTCTTTTACTTCTTTCTTCTAATTCTAAAATTAACTGTTCCTAACACTCGTATCATTGACTAATATATCTATAAATATAACTTGTTCAAAATAACCCTTAAAGTCACTCCTATTCCAATAAACTGTGCATTTGAATTCATTACTTTTATCATGAATAATGAATTTTTGCTTAATGACAGGAGGTGAGGGCTGCAATGGACCAGGACTGCACAAGTGAAAATAAAAAGTTTTGCTTAATGAAAGAAAAAATTAAAATAATTTTTTTTCTGATGTTGATCATTTTCTCTTTGTAGGTGGTATGGTGTTTTAAAGCCGATTGCAAAGATGTATTTATGCCTGATAACAGTGTTTTGTTGAAAATTTATAACTAGCTTATAGGTTTTTGAGAAAAACAATTGACACATTTATTTAAATTTAGTTTATCTGTTTACTTTCTTACTTCAGCTTGTCCTGGGATTCTCTGCTTTGTGCATTGGAGTTTTGATAAGTATTTTAAAATACTGATTTTAGGTGGGAACCACTTAGGTAAGGTCACTTTTACTTGATGGCTTAGTTGATTATTTCAATAAAATAAGTTTCACTCTTCTTGGGTGAGAAAATTCATTAGCATTATAAATCAATACAAATAGGAATGTATTATCTCAAAATCAAAAAGAAGATAGATGGGCACTTATTTTAAAAATGTAAAGGGAGCCCTGTCTTTTCAACTGTCCTATCTATAGTGAAGCCCTCAACATTTCTCACTAGGTTTAGCATTTTGTACTTCCTGGATATGTAGAATAGCTGTTTAGCCAATCCAATGTAAATTTGGTACATTACAGAGACATTTTAAATTTAGATGAAGAAATTATTTTTCACTATAATTGAACTTTTGCCAACCCAAAGTTAACTCATTTCTTAGAAAAGTGGAATCTTGTCACAATTTGGGTTCTTCAATACAGTGAATTTTTGTTACAGGACAGCAAGAGACAGGGAACTCCAAAAAAGTGAGCAAATAAGCAAGTGATAGTCCCAGCTAATGGGTTAGAATTGCAAAGCACTAGATTATATCCAACAATACCGATACTTGTTGATGTAATACACTTTGAGTCTTTCTAAAAATCAGGTGGCGATATCACTTGTTTCGGCCAATAAAGTATGAATAGAAAGTAGGTGTCTTACTGCTGGGTAGAAAGTTTAAAAGCCCCGTGTGGTTTTTCCTTCTCTTCTCTCTGCTATTGTGATAGCGATGTTTCAGATAGATCCTATTCCATCTGTCTATGTCTCCAAAGTGAAGATAACTTCTAAGAGCAAAGCTCTTCTTCCACCCCACATTGAACATGCTCTTTTTAAGAGCTGCGAAGATTTTGAGATTGTTTCATTGCTGCATAACTTAATCGATTCTAAAATGTAATTTTGCACATAATTCAAAATTGAGACTTGCCTAATACCACATATATTTGTATTTATATACGTGCACATTGTTTGTATGTATATTCTTATTATTGGTGCATGAATCTATAAATAAACTTTAAAATTTAAAAATAAATATCACAAAGACATTTTGAACAAATAACTCAAGAGCCATAGCCTAGAAAAACAAGTCCTGGCATAATATCTGAATATTAATGCTCATCCTATAGGCTCATAAATCACTTATCACCTCGGCTCACTAAGTCCCTTACCCAGACTTGATCCCATCATCTGTCAGTAAAAATCATTGTAATACCTTAGCCTTATAAAATGCTTTTCTTCCAGGAAGATCAAAGAAAATGAAAGCTTCTTTTATTTAACTCTCCCTATTACTTCAGTGACATGCACATGTCAGGTAAATTATTCACTTCAGATCAACTGAGAAAGTAAGGGGAAAAAGGTGATAAACCTGGCCTGAGGGTACCCAATGAAGTGGTGCTGCAGCAGTGTCCAAATTCATTTTCTCTCTCACTCTGTGTTCTCTGCTATTTCTCTATATACTGCTATGATAAAGATAGTATGTGCTTTCATCGCTTAAAAATATTAGCACAGAAACCATCATGTGTATTTCAGAAAAATAAGTGTATAAATGAAGGATACTGATCATTCAGCCAAATCATAACACAATGGATTTTATCTATAAATGTTGATGTTAACATCTGCATAAATAACCTCCACTACTCAGCGTCTCCAAAAGCAGTAATTCAATGTCTCCAGTCACAAGCCAATGAAACTGAATAAAAAATCCCCATGCCATTTTCACTGTTTCTGTAGAAAATGATTAAACTCAAGCATTAGATCCTCATGCCTCATAAAATAATGGAAAAATTGTGTGTGAGTACCTTTGTGCAGAGTGAACCTACTAATTTTACATTATACCTGCTCCACACCTCCCTCCACATGACATACCCGTCCCTCATCAGCCTCCTAGGTTTAGGAAAAGAGTATTTGTGCCAAGTATTGACCTGAAGGTGAATAATAGAATAATAGTCAGTTTGCGTCTGGAACTTCGAAAAGAGTGTGAATATCTTTGTATACTCAAAAACGCAATTCCGTTCTAATACTCTCTTCAAACCAGCCAGAAGCAAGCTTGACCACTGTCTGAAGAATAAATAAATAGAAAATGACAGTGCAGAGATTTTGATAATGGATCTATCCATGAGAGAACTGGAAAAGCATTTTTGATATTTAAGAATTTCAATATGAACAATAGTGGACTAAAATAGTTGCAAAATCACAAGTGAAACCAATCAGGACATCCATTATAACAGCTTTTCTGACAATAAAAACGTATTTCTAGGCCAATCTGTTGTCTTAACTCTGAAAGAACACAATCGACGTGCAGCAGATGTCTTCATGAACGGTACCCACAAGGCCTGAGGGATTTATGACACTTTGTATAAAAGCCACTGACAGAACAGTGGTTTCTCATTACTCCCATAGCTGTGTTAGCCATTTTCTGCCATGACAGCAAACTGAACTCTAGGAAATGAAAGCTCAGAACCCACAGAAGCTGCTCCCTTTACTTCTGTGTCAGTAGACATTCCCTGGGCCACCTTGACTTTGAGATTTTCCACTGCTTGGAAAATGAAGGATGCATTTCCTTCCTTAGTGACTCTGGACATGTGAGTCATACTTGGAAAATTTAGACAGGAAAGGTATAAAAATCAGATTTTTGAAACCTACCTGACAAAGGAGGAAATAACATTTTTATAGTGTCTTTTCCATATTGATTCACCTAGTCAGGCACAGGAATGTGACAGTCCCCATGAGAGGATGACAGAGCCCTTGAGGGTGGTCTTTGTGTGACTGAAACAAGACAGTTTTCACATTTGCAGAGGGGTCCAGTGTCTGCCAGCACCCAAAGTTTTAGTAATTCAGCCCAGCTATATTTGTGCAATATATGAAGCTTGTTCAAAAACTGAGTCTATACTGGCATTTGTGAATGGCACAATGGTGTGGTTAATAGCATAATATTGTTTTAGCTACATGTCCCCAGGATAAAGTAGCCCGATAGTAATTGCTTGTAGGCTGGAAATCTGAAGTGACAGATTTCCAAGACACATAGTCCCCAGATGAATCAGATGTCAGGATTCAATTTTTAAACTCAAAAACGATTTCTACTGTATCGACTCATCTTAACCTGTCAAGTTTACAGTGAGAATGCTTTTATTTGACAAAAGATATGACAACCCTTCACACATGAAAAAAAAATTATTCTAATGTGCCAATGGCCCTATGAAACATATGACAACCCTTCACACATGAAAAAAAAAATTATTCTGATGTGCCAATGGCCCTGTGAAACAAGTTACAAAATGAAGATCATATTTTAACTTGACCTTCATAAAACACGTGTTTTATCTCGATAAACTACTGGATTTGATAAAATATTATTTTTAAAATTAGCTAGATCCTGGTGTCACAAAATATAAAAATATAGTCTTCAAATAAATCTACCAACCAAAACATAGATTCCCATTATTTGATGAAGGAGTGCCCTGCGAAACAGAGCGACACCTTTGATGATTGACGTTTAAGATATGGAAAAAAACAGAAACTATTTACAGGCATCTACTTCGCAAAAGTAAATATTGAGTTAGACATCGATTGTGTTCTCCTCTAACACCAGGATTCAGCGCTTTATGCAAAAATAACCTTGGAGGCTTTTCTGTAAGTGATAAGCTATCCAACAGCTGGCCTACCAGATCATGCCTTGGTTGAAGATCAGAGCGAGGACGTTGCCACTGATGTCGAATTCCGTGTACGAAGGCTAGAGGAGACACGGTGTTCATTGGATTAGCATCTCACATGGTCAAAACTGAAAGGCAAGTGGTTCTGCGTAGGCATGGCTAAGGTTTCAACTACTTTCCTTCAGCAACAATAGCAGAATAATCACTAGGATAAGTAACCAGAGATAAATAAAACAAAGAAAGCACCCTTTTTTTTTTTTTTTAACATGAGACTCATTTTAAAATGTTGTCATCCAATGGTATGAAAGTATAGCAAGACAGGCTTTCTTATACACTGCTGGTGAAAGTAAAAACTGTAGCAACCTTTCAGAAAAACAATTTGAGACTACATATTAAAAGCTTTAAAAATCTTATTCTTTTTGACTCTGTAAGAAAACTTCTAGAATCTGTCTTAATAAAATTATCTGAGGTGATGATAAACTTTAACAAGCAATGATGAAACCATCTAAGTGTTGAACATTAGTTAAGTTTATACAGTATATTTATACTATGATATATTGCAATGAATTACAATCATTTTGAAAGAATATTTATGTGCATGAGCAAAAACTGTGTTCTAATGTTAAACAAAAAATATAAAGTCACACATTAATCAACTATATGAAACTACACACACAGACTAGAAAATAATCAGCAAGATAGTCATAGCTTATATGTGGGTGATGGACTATAATTTTCCTTTTCTAAGGTTTCATATTAAAAATTCTTTTGATGAAAATGTGAATTAACTTTAACATAAAATAAATATAGCAAAAGAAATGTAACAAAAGCTTAAGAAGTTATTCAATTCAATGTCCAGTCTTCATGTCTTGGATAATACCATCACGCTCAGGGCAGCAACACTTGGTGGGAAACTGTGATAGAGTGGTCCATCCAAAGACTTCCTAGTGATACATTACGCATCCTAACAGGAGGTTCTAACAATGGAGTTAGTGCTAATTAGCAAGGGCAATAAAACTGGCTCTTATTTAATTTGGGCTAGAGAATCAGAGGAGACTGACCAATTGGTAATAAGGGAATAAGAGAGCAGAAAATATGAAATAAGAATGCCAAGAAGACCGTGGAAAAAGAGACCAAGATACTGCCAGGTCCCTAGCTGCTCAGATCTTATTATCTCCAGGTGTGCTTCAGACCACACATATCCCCATAACAACTCCCTCCCCAACACATACACACATACACACACAAGCACACACACACACACACACACACACACACACTGACTTAGGAGAGCCTCTGTTCCTCCCAAACCCAAGAACTCAAAAATATACTTGTAAAAAAAATATAATTGGTTCCTGATTTGGAACTCCAACAAAACCATTCCCAGCTTTCAAATGCTTGGGCTCAAGAGTCTCATGAATCCAGGCCTCAACTTCATCACTTTCCTAAAAGGCAGTGTTACTCTTCTATTCAACTGAAACATAAAGACAATCTGCCTTGTAACAGAGCAGCAAGTATGGCATAACAGGAATGGTTAACCCTCAAGGTAAAATAAGATGATACATAATGAAATAATAAAGAGTCCTGTGTATTAAACAGAACAAAGATGACCTGGATAATTGGAGTATCATTTTAGATACTGTTGAAGGACAGCTACAAAGTGTTTCAGTAGTTTGCAGATTTTCTAGAAGGGCAATATTCACAAGAGGCAAAAAGGTTTGGTGGACAGTTTTTGTTCTGAAATCAGCAATGAAAAAAAAAATGTGTCCTTCATGGAGAATAAATGAATTGCTTCTTTTCTGGAGAACATTAACTCTGGGTCTCTTTCCTTCTAGGGGAGTGCCCTGCTCTGGATGACCTTCAGCACTTTTCCCCTGGAGCCCCGTGTGAATCATAGAACACATCTAAAAAACGCTCATTTGGGTGGCCTGTGCCATCTGTGGCCTTGGAACAGCCTTCCTCTGTGTCAGTTTAAAAATCAAACCTTAAACCTTGGCCTCCTTAGAATGGTGTGATGAGGTAAGCCCACCAAACTACTGAACATGGAAAAAGCTCAAAGTTTTAAATACCTATTTTCTTCACTCTCTCGACCTCCTGAAGGTCATTTGAGATGAAATATTTTATAACTAGTTAACTAGAAAGCATAAAGGACACCCTAGGGTCCCTAGCTTCATGCTGTGTTTGTGGCAGGGGCAGCTGGAGGAACAAACCCCTTGGTATATAAATTGGCCTGATGCAGAGAAAGGATATAGGGTGGTCATACTGGACCAAGTGGATTTGTAGAATAGACATTTGACGGGGATTCAAACCTGTATTTTAGACTTCACTCTACCATTTCTTAGCTGGATGAGCTGGGCAGGTCACTTATCTCATTAGGCTTAGTTTCCTGACACGAAAATCAATAAAAATGAACTAGACCAAGGGTCAGCATACTATGGTCCATGTGCCAACTCTGGACTGCCACCTGTTCTAACAAATACATTTTTATTGGAATACAGCTATATTCATTCATTTATATATTGTCTATGACTAGTACTAAAACAATAGAGTTTAGCAGTTAAAACAGAGATGCTATGGCTTGCTAAGGTTAAAATATCTAGACCTTTAGAGCAGAAGTTTGCCAACTTCTGAACTATGTATATAGTATAAAAGTCAGTTCTCATTTTTTTAGAGGTAGGCTTTTTTAAACATGACATTCTATTTTAAAATTTTAAAGCAATACTTTAATAAATATAAATCAATTTGCAATACATTTTTTAAAACAGTTTCTAAAACAGAAAAAAACTCAAAGGTAAAAGATGGTTATGGAAAAAGGAAAAAATAGATTCTCTTGAACTTTGCGATCATAAAATTATTTGACTGTGATAAGTATAATAAACTCACTAATGGCTGCTTATTGCTGGCGAGACTGTTGGGGGCCAGCACCAGAAAAGCACGTGTGGATTTGGGCTAAAGTCCATCATAGTCAAGGGACTGGAAATGATGTTGTTTAATTTTTGGACCTTTGCTTGTGATGTGCTAGGTCATCCACCCAGAGGGAAGACATGTGGTGCTCACTGGACAAAGAAAAGGCCTGGGAAGATCCCTTTTCTCTCTGCAAGTTTTGTTATTTGAGGCAGATTGCCAACCTGTGGATAACATGAAATGCAATTCAGGATCTTAGAGAGAATTAATTCTGTCACGGCATGAGTTGCCTGACCTTCTCCACATAAATCCCATTTCCCACAGCTGGAATCACTCTGCTTAGAGCTGTAAGCTGGCCTGGGCTGTGGCTCCAGAGCAGTGGCTCTTGGGTGTGGTCCTCAGACAAGAGTCAGCTGCATCACCTGGGAACTTGTTAGAAAAGCACAGTCTCGGGCCTCGCCCCAGATCTACTGAATAAGAAATGCTGTTTTCACAGGTCCTCAGGGGATTCTGATGCATGCTCAAATTTCAGAACCACTGATCTAGGACACACTATAGACTCATCTGCTAGGATGATTGAGCACTTGAGGCTTTGTACTTCAACCATAGCTGAGAGTAGGATCCTGTTAACTGCAGACAGATCCTGTCCACATATTCAAAGGGCACTTAAAATACAGCCTGTATTGTCCCTGTTTCCATGTTCTCTACTCCTCATGGGATGGTGATGATTTCTTACTTACTCTTTAGCATGATACCTTCCTGAACTGATATATAATATCTCCATGTTCCCAGCTAGAGAATAGTTGATCTTCTAATTCTGTATCCCATCTCATTTGCTAACTCCATTCTACTACAGGTATGCCTAAGGCTAGGAACATACCTGCAGTAGTTTTGAGTTCCAAAAGCCATAGGTTTGATGCATGAATTATTCAAGTTTTAGCAGAGGTTGTAAAATTTCTAGAGTCAAGCATTACAGTGAAAATTCAACATGATAGAAATTTGGTTGATGGCTTTCAAGGTGATGAGACTCGGGTTTCAGGCCTCACTCTACCCCTAACCAGCAATGTGTCTTTGAGCAATTATTTAACATCCTCTAGCCTCAGTTTACTGCAAAGTAGGAACAATAATACCAGCTCACAGCATTGCTGGTATGATCACATGGAATAATATATGTATTTTGTAGATTTTCTCACACAAAATAAGCAGTACATTGAGATGTAATATAATACAATATAATATGATTGGGAATCCACTCAGGTAGTCAGTCAATTACATGCCTCTTATTTACCGATAATCTTAAGCACACTTCATCAGACTTTAAGCACCCTTCCCATCGCCATTTATGTAAACTGAACAATGATTACCTTAAAAATACAATTGTGAACATCATGCTGAGTTTATTGAACATTCCTTTACCCCATCAGGCCCTGAATCTAATTCTATTTCTTCCTGGATATTCTTCACTTGCTTTGTTGGTAAATAGCAAGAATGGTGTCAATGAAAACTGAAGTGAAGATAAAGACATTCTGCATTGAACTGTTACAGAAAACTCAAAGTGTTTACAAGAGGCCGTACTTTGTATTAAATTAGAGCAGTTAAAATCCTTCCTAGGGACAAATTATTCTACTCTCCATGAACTCTTTTGAAACACTGAGACCTATGCTCAGAGAAGCCTGGGAGATACTAACTTACATTACATTAACTTACATTGGTCTAATAATCTGCTCCAAGCCAGTAATTTTCCCACCTTAGTTAATCTTCATAGGTTTGTTGTGATAACACTATGACCATAAATTTATGACTTGAAAAATATTCACAATCCCTTTTAACCCAACTTACTTTGATAAAGCCAGTATATAATTCAGTACATTTAACATAACATTTTGGTCCAGAAGTATGCTTCATTGTCCTTACTATTCTCTCACTACGTAAACTTAGGAACCTCATTTCAACACACAGGTGCAATTTTTCACATGTTAAAAACAAGCATTACAGTTGATTGTGTCAAAAGCCACCCAACTTTAGCATTCTATAGATCTCTGAATCTAATGGTAAAATCTGCAGAGTTTCTACAGAGGCTGTTGTAATAAAAGTGAATAGGCTTTTTTAAAGGCCCTTTCTGTGACTGGGCAATTCAACTCAGAGAAATTTATTGTAAGAAAATAATGTGTGCACTATGATTTATCTATGAAGGCATTTATCTACATGAATATAATTAAATATCATCACAACACTTATTATCTTAAGAAAAATTAGACAAAGTTCAACTCAAAGTAAATTAAAAAATAATTAGATTAATTATACTACATTCACATGCAGAATAGTATACAACCATTTAAAAGGCATGTTATAAAATAACAGTTAATAGTATTGGGAAATGGTCACTGGTAGGTAAAACAAATAAAAGCAGGTAACCAACCTATCTACCTATCTGTGTACATGCACACATACGCAAATGTATATATGTGTGTATTTATATAAATCTATGTTACTATATATAACTACGTGGCACTTGTTATCTAAGACTTTGATTCAACAATTCAAATAATCTCATTAGTGGCAGAGATAACCTATGATTTTTACTTTTGTGTTAGCTTTGTTGTATTTTCCAAATTTTTTACAATAAACTGCCATTATTTTTGGAATTCAGAAGAAAAAACATATGCTGTGTGTGTGTGTGTGTGTGTGTGTGTGTGTGTGTGCATAGTAGAAAGGACCACGTTTTATTTCTCACAGAATTCTCAAGTATCTCCTCTGCCCATCTCAGGTTCTCCTTCCCTATATGACAGGTACTTTCTGAAACCATATTGTTGATTGGCAGGTCTAGGAGAATAGCAGAGAAACATTTTTATCAGCCTTTTCTGCTCTAATACACCTTCATTTTAGTGGGTTTTTTCTCTTTTTTTTCTTTTTGAGACGGAGTCTCACTCTGTCGCCTAGGCTGGGGTACAGTGGTGTGATCTCGGCTCACTGCAACCTCCGTCTCCCAGGTTCAAGAGATTCTTCTGCCTCAGCTTCCCGAGTAGCTGGGACTACAGGCACATGCCACCACACCCGGCTAATTTTTTGTATTTTTAGTAGAGATGGGGTTTCACCGTGTTAGTCAGGATGGTCTCGATCTCCTGATCTCATGATCTGCCTGCCTCAGCCTCCCAAAGCATTGGGATTACAGGCGTAAGCCACTGTGTCCGGCCAGTTTTTTTAATTTATGCCTGCATTGCCCATACTGTCTAGCTCTGGGTCCCTGTCTTACATTTGTCCCTCCACAAGGGACTCCTTTCATCTCTTGAAATCCTGACCATCCTTCAAGACTTAGTTCAAATGTCTCCTCCTCCATGTCTGCATTTCTACTAATGTACCTCTCTCTCTCTCTCTTCCAAAGGGCCATACAATTGAGTTCTCCTATGGCATTTACATTTTATGTTCCTTATCAATATTGGTAGCTTTGAAGAGAAGAGTGGTGAAGAGTATGAGGAACTGGAGAATGAATAACCCAACTGTAGATGGCCATGGTTTCTCAACGCTAGCCAATTTCTCCCTAGTGGGAGTATGAACTGAATGTTGCCAGTCCTTTCAAGAAATACAAGAAATTCATGTGTTTTTACGTAAAAGTCCTCATTTTAAAATATTAGCTCATAAAAAAATGAAACAAAAATAACCACCACCACTGGCATACCAAACAAAAATATTCTTTAGCTGAATCTACCTTGCCGGACAAATGTGCAACCTCTCCATAAGTCTACATCTTCTACAACCCTGTATTCTGTTATCACCTAGCACAGAGTTTGCTCATAATGGCTTGCACCTAGTAGGCCCTCATCTGTGTAAGCTATCCATTTGATAAGTCAACGACAATGAGATCTACATCAAAGATTCATCATCCATCATTAATGTTTTAAAACTTGTTTTGATTCTCACAGAGCTTTTTTGAGCCTTCCGAAGGTAACGTGGGAGAAAATTCTTTATGACCTCAAACAGGAACTTGTCTTTTTTCCTGTACTTTGTACTAACCCAGGAGCACTGTCAGCACTCAATAAATAATAAATTACAGTCATTTAATTACAGCTTTTATGCATCCAGGTCATGTTATATTGACTTCATATTTGCAGTCAGATTTTCTGCCAGAAGAAAGCAGCCAAGGGATAAAAGGTAAGCACAAGCCAAGGAACGGTCTAAGGAAGAAATGGCCATTTTTATGTCTGCCTCAGAGGAGCTGAATCAGGCAAGGAAATTAGAAATGAAACAAAGCCAGCTGAATACCTCATAGCAAAGAATGAGAAAGCAACACAAGAGCATCCTGGATCTATAGCCGTTACCTCACTGTCGTTCACTGAAGAGCATTACCTAACTGCTTTTGGCCAGTCCAAGGAGGCACTTTCAATGAGGGTGATAGAGATGACCTCATAAAAGGTACCATCTCAAAGTCACACAGTCAGACAGAAGATCTAGGCTGAAATCTTGAAAACAGTCCTAAATGTGGGACTTATCTAGAGACTAGAGGGCATGAGATAAAACAGATAGAAGATCAGCTATAAAGGATATTGCCTCACAGGTGAGGGGAGAAGCATGACTGGCTCAAGAACTCAAAAACGTTACAAACACTGAGACTCTGTAGGCACGTGCTTCAAAGGAGGCAGAGTTCTGCCAATAGAGAGTGCTGCCTTGATGGTGCTAAGATGCGAGGCTCAACGTTCAAACAGCTAGCCAACACGCGGTGCCTGCGATGTGACTTGTACAGCTCAAGTAACAGATGTCAGGGCCTCTATTTTCATAGAGTGTTAATTCTAACAGAGGGAGATAGACCATAAATACATTTTACAAGAGTAATGTCAAATGGTTGCACAGCTTATGATGAAAACAAAACAGTGTGTTGAAATAAAGAGTGCCTGATTAGCTATGTTAGAATAGGTGGTCAGAGAAGCTCTAAGTAGGTAACAGAATGGCTGAATTTAATGACAAGAAGAAATGAGCTATTCCAAGTTCTAGGGCAACAGCACCCCTTGAGGGAGAAACAGCAAGTGCAAATGTAAGGGGCATCTTGTGTTTGGGCATAAAAAGCAGCCCATTAGCTGGGCGCCATGGCTCACGCCTGTAATCCCAGCACTTTGGGAGGCCTAGGTGGGCAGATCACCTGACGTCGGGAGTTCGAGACCAGCCTGGCCAACATGGTGAAACTGCATCTCTATTAAAAATATAAAATTAGCTGGGCGTGGTGGTGCATGCCTGTAATTCCAGCTACTGGGGAGGCTGAGGCAGGAGAATCTCTTGAACCTGGGAGGCGGAGGTTGTGGCGAACCAAGATTGCGCCATTGCACTCCAGTCTGGGTAACAAGAGCAAAACTCTGTCTCAAAAAAAAAGAAGCCTATGTTTGTGAACTTTACAAAGCAAGAGCAAAAGTGGTAGCAAATGACTTGAGAAAGAAAGAAAAGAAGCAGATCATCCAGGGTACTGAAGGCCTAGAAATGGATTTAGAAGTCATTCTAAGTACTTGGTAAGCCACTGGAAGATTTTAAGCAAATGAGTACTACCAACCCCCAGGTCATATTTCCTGGAATGACTGAAGCCAGGTTGACTGCAAAGGAGGACAGTGGAAGCCAGACGATCTGCTAGTCACAGAGTGATGAGTGTGCTGTTGACCTCAGACTTTGCTGGGGGACCTGAGGTTGAGCATAGAGAGAAAGCTGGTGATGGAGTTAGCATCAGTGTGGTTCTGAGAAATTGGAGCCGTTGTTTCAGGAAAAGAAGCCACCCCTGCCAGAATTTAGCTCCACAACGTGCCAGATGCATGACAGCAAACTAGGCCTTCCTTGAACTTTCTGTAATCTCTTGTTTGTGTCTCTGTCAAGCTCTTATTAGACTGTGAACTTTGTGAAGCAAGTACCATATTTACCAAATCCTTTTATCCTGCCACTGCAACTGCTGCACAGTGACTGGCACATGATAATATCCAGGAGTTTAGTAGAATTCAAAGGCATAAATAGAATATGCAGTTGATATTAGCCATCCTTCCCTGCTTCAAGATAGGAAGAATGGGCTACAGGGCCAAGATTTACTGAGTTCAACATTTTAACTAACAAGTTGAGGTCCATTGCTTTTGCTATCTTGTGCTAATTTTACTAGAATATTGTAAATTATGATACACAAGACTGACCTTCTCTGTACTATAAATGTACTCATTAGTCTGCATTTATTGATATCTAAAAAGATGATCCCACCTAGTAAACTCTATGATGCCTTTCCCTTATATAGTGTGTGTAAATGATGAATCACAAAGGAAAAATCTTATAAGAACAAAATTAACATCATACTTACGTATCCGTATTCCAAGTCCCAGCACCAGCAATAATTGCAAAACCTCACAAAACATGCTCTAAGAAAGTCCCCAATGAGGATTGTGACGTAGGTAGTCAGAACATCAGAGACCGTCAGCCGCACAAACTCCTGTTGAAATATTATCTCTATTAAAACACACAGTTCCGTCTTCAAATGGTCCTAGTGTTGGCATTAAATCTGTCATGTTTCTAAAGAAGTATTGGCTTGAAGACTACAATTAATGGCAAAAGAAGAAAATGACTAGGCATTTCAAGAAAATAAAAAATATTTCACTCCTATTTTATCACTTTAAAAATAATTATTTCCCATTTACTAAATCAAAAGTTTTCTTTTTACTGAGCAATTTTATAAGCATGATACAAGAGCCAAAAACAGATAGGAAAATATTGACCACACAGCAGCTTAAAATTCTATGTGGTGAATGGCACTATTTACAGACTTGAAAGACAAATGTGGAAAAAGTACTTGCAACATATATGATAGAGGATGAGTACTGCTAACACGTTAAAAGCTTTTACAAATCAGTATGAATACAGGCGGACAATCCAATGAAGAAAGAAAACAGCAAAAGGCACAAATTAAAAATTCACAGAAGAACATATACCAACGGTCCATTAAAACCGAAAAATACCTAAACCTCACTACTAAAAACGCAAATGAAAAGAATGAGTTGTTGCCTCACAGAGTGATAAATGTAAAATCTATGTTTCTTCATATTGGTAAGTGTAGTGAAATAGCATGAGCATAAACTGACGGAGAAGTTACACTGGGCACAACGTTGGGGAAAAATGTATTAAAATCCACCACATTTTAAAATGTTTGGCGCTTGATCAAGAAAACTACTTTTAGAAATGCCTGTGATCTGTACATACAATCATGAAAGTACTGCTTCTTCCAGATTAAAAATGGAAAAATTCAAATATGCTTGGGAGATTTATTAAATAAAACAAATTAAATGTCCACACAATGGTATATTATATTGTAAGCCCTTAAAACAAAATGCTATCGTGGTGCTGGATGACTCACTATGTGACTACATTAGAAACCATTGAATTGTGTATTTTTAAAAAAATGTTTAGTGTATTTTTCTTATTTTAAGTTCCGGGGTACATGTGCAGGTTTGTTACATAGGTAAATGTATGCCACGGTGGTTTGCTGCACTTATCAACCCATCACCTAAGTATTAAGCTCTGCATGTATTAGCTCTTATTCCTGATGCTCTTCCTTCCCTCTCACCCCCCACCAGGCCCCGGTGTGTGTTGTTCCCCTCCCAATGCCCATGTGTTTTCATTCTTCAGCTCCCACATATGAGTGAGAACATGTGGTGTTTGGTTTTCTGTTTCTGTGTTAGTTTGCTGAGTATAATGGCTTTCACCTCCATCCATGTCTGTGCAAAGTACATGACTGCATTCCTTTTTATGGCTGCATAGTATTCTATAGGGTACATATGGCACATTTTCTTTGTCCAATCTATCATTAATAGGCATTTGGGATGATTCCATGTCTCTACTATTGTGAATAGTGCTGCAATGAACATATGTGGGCATGTATTTTTATAACAGAATGATTTATGTTTCTTTGGGTATATACCCAGTAATGGGATTGCTGGGTCAAATGGTATTTCTGGTTGTAGGTCTTTAAGAAATTAACACTGCTTTAGTTGTGTCCCAGAGATTCTGGTACATTGTCTCTTTATTCTTATTAGTTTCAAAGAACATCTTGATTTCTGCCTCAATTCCATTATTTACTCAGGAGTCGCTCAGGAGCAAATTGTTCAATTTCCATGTAGTTATGTGGTTTTGAGTGAATTTCTTAATTTTGATTTCCAATCTAATTGTCCTGTGGTCTGAGAGACTGTTTATTATGATTTCAGTTCTTTTGCATTTGCTGAGGAGTGTTTTACTTCCAATTATATGATCAATTTTAGAGTAAGTACCATGTAGTGCCAAGAAGACTATATATTCTGTTGTTTTTGGGTGGAGAGTTCTGTAAATATCCATTAGGTCCACTTGATACAGAGCTGAGTTCAAGTCCTAAATATCTTCATTAATTTTCAAATTTTGTATTTTAATTGGGTGAACTGTATTGTGTGTAATTTATATCTCAACAAAGCTGTTTTAAAGGTACAAAAAATGTTATGCTCTAATAGGAAATATGTTTTTTAAAAATTTCCAAAACAGTATATGTGGTCTGACCTCATTTGTTAACAAAGACCCTATATACATATTATGTATGTATGTATTTAATAACATGTATATGAAAAGAAAAGACTTGGAAAATTAGAAGCTGGTTATCTCAGTTGGCTTCAAATTCAAGTGGGCTTAAATTTATGTCCAAAGCGTGTGTGCTACGAGTTAGAGGGGAAGTTCACTATTTTCTCATATGTCAATAGGCAATAAATATAAAAATAGACATACAATTATAAATTTTCATGATAGCTTGCATTTGTTCTTCCCTTTCTGTTCCTTCTCAGTAATTCATGCCCTAAAGCTGAAGACACTGAACATCTAACAGGACATATTTTGCTAGAAATACTAATGCTATTTCATAATATGAGAATCTTTTGGTGTTTATTTCCAGCTACCTATATAGACTCCCCTCTAAAGTGACTAGTGAGTAAAAATTATCTCTTAAAGAATCATTTAACTATGAGTTGTTAGGTTGAGTTCTAGCTTCACACCTCAGAACAGTGTTTCCTAAATCCTGTGCTGTCATGTACAATCTTCACAATCCTTGCCATATCCAAGTACCATGTGAAATATTATTTATCTAATATTTCTTTTAACTTTAATATAGTTTATTTTATAAGGTAATTGTTACTATTATAAATCAAAGATGTATATATCATCTGCCATAAATATGTTAGCTATAAATAAATATGATGAAAATAAAAACTTATGTTGAAACTTAAATATATAAACATAAGACACAGCCTCAGCTTTGGTTCCCCCTTTTCCCTGTGAAAAGGGTTTTTAAGCAGTAGCACATTTTGGGAAGTGATAGCAGAGAACAGGAGAGGGGAGTGGGAAGAATAAGACAGTGAAGGAAAGAAAGTCTCTCCACCAAGGTGTGTTACAAGCTGTCACTACTAAGATAAGTGGATCTTAATCCTTCTGGGGATCCACCTAGTAGACACATAGAATAAGCCTCAGAATTGTCCACTCAGGAGATGGAAGAGGGATGTACTTATCCACCAGCTCACATTTCCCATTCGTCAAGGATGGCCCCATAGAGTATTAATGTTCCACGTGGTGACTGCAGAGAACACTGGGGTAAAGGTAAGAATATGTGTGCAGAACAGTCTAGATGCTGTTACGTAACAGTACATGCAGTTGTTTGCTGCAACAACTGGAGTAGAAAAGTGGAGCAAGAGAATATAAGGTTTCTGCATAATCTGAAAGCTTCTGCACAACCTGACGCCTGTCTAGTGATCCATATTCTTTTTGCATTTCTCTTCCCTTTTCTGTGTTTATCTTTGTCTTCTTTGGTCCAGCCCCACTGGCCTTCTTCAGGACCCAGACTTCACACTCCTCCAGGCCACAGGGTCTTTGCATATGGTCTCACTCTACATATGGTCTCAATCACACTTGCTAGACCTCTTTCTTGACTCAGTTTATGTAAGCAACTATGCGTCCTTACAACATATTTAGTAAAGTCTCCCTCAACTCCCTGACAAGGGTAAGCTCCCTATAAAAGGTTCCAAAGGTCCATGTATTTAATTTTTGTAGTACTTGTTACCATTGTAAATTTACAATTTTTGGTCTATATTTGTTCCCCAGTGTATCTCTAGTACCTAGCACAACGCCTGGCAATTACCATGCACTCAAAAAATACAAAATGAATGAATAATTGATAGCATTCCTGTGGTTACTTTTGGACATAGTTTTTTTCCTCTTTCCTACTCTTTGTCTCCTTTCCTTTCCTGAGGCAGTTCTTTGCATTTATTTACTTATTTATTTAGAGACAGGGATCTTGCTATCTTGCCCAGGCTGACCTGGAACTCCTGGGCTCAAGCAATCATCTTGTCTCAGCCACCTAAGTACCTTGAACTACAGACACATGCCTCCATGCCCACCCTTTCCAGGCAATGTTTAGCTCGGATTCTAGTAACTAGCATCAATTACAGGAAGGCTATGAGGGATATTTTTAGGTTTCTACTGCCAGGTCTAGAAGACTTCCTCAGGTAAGAAAATATTTCAGAGTGGTTTGGAAGTCCTCCACATCCTCTTAAGCATCCTCATCCCAAAGGTTGAAATTCAATTTCTTCCCAAGAAGTGACTTAACGTTCACATAAAATATCTGAAGAGGATTCAAACATTGTATTAAAAATGTTAAATGTTTATTTATATAACATAGGAAAAATATATTTTAAAAGAAATGGAATTCAAAAAATGGTAGCCCAGGCCATCTCAAGGACATCATCCATTCCTAGTTCCTCCTGTGCTTGTCAGGATGGGGAGCACAGCCCCCACACCGGTCTCCTGCTAAACCCACACTCTGCACCTAAAAACTCTGCACACACAACATTGCTTAAAATGCCTTGGAAGCTTTGGCCAGCAAAGCTAAAGGAATCATTTATTAATAGGTAAAGGGAAAACACCAGGCAAGGAACATCATAAAGGGCCACCAAATACAGATGTTGCAAGGCAGGCATTAGGAGAGTGTGTCGATGCCAACTGGGGGACAATTTAGCACTGTGAACAAAGACACAAACTCTGTAAGCAGATTATGCAGGCTAAATTGGGGCTCCGGTCATTGACGTTCTCAGAGGTCTTGAGTAAATTCCCTTCCTAAGTCTCAGTCTCCTCATTTATAAAATGGGAATAATAATATAACGTATCTCAGAATGAAACATAAAAATTTGAGGAGAAAATACTTGGCACATTAGCCATCGTTGTGGTTATCTTGCTTTCTCCCCTTCACCAAAGTGCAGACCTCAGGATATAGCTTCAAGGAGGAATGGCTCTGCAGCTCAACGAATCCAGTAGGAATGAAACTAAAGGACTGCTTGAAAATCTGCAGAAGTAAAGGAGCAGTCACATTATCCTATATTCAAAACAATAAGAGCTTTGAGTCTCATAACATCCTTGGAGATAGTCAAAGCAGAGGGCATCCATGGAGAAGAGGAAACATCTGTGATGCTCTCACAGAACAATGAATGAGGGTGCATATCTAACTTTACATGCAAACAAGCTGCCTTTTACTATTTCTTCTGGAGGCGTATTTTTTAAGCAATTAAAGAATAGAAATTTTCCAGATGCACAGATACAGATATTGATCTCTTAAAGGCGAGAGCTTTCCAGCACTCAGATCTGTTATGTCCTATATGTTCTCTTTGTTCCCAGAGATTCTATCTGCCTAGTCAACATTCCAGTCAGAACAACCCCTTTTCCCTTGGCCCACTTATTCAGATGTTAATGGCTCCTTGGAGAAAGGAAGGTGAAAGAGAAGGGAGAAATCCAACTACAAATGGCAGTAAGGAAAGATGACGAAGCAAGGAAAACCACTTCAGACAGGATTAAAACAAAACAAAACAAAAAGACAAGACAAGCAGCATAATCCATGGGCTTCCAAGGTGGAAAATTAAGTAAATGGTACTTCTTTTCTTTGAAGTCAGTATGTGTGGGACTATTGCAGAACCATGTGCATCCGAAACTTTCTCCTAGATTGCTTTCACATTCCTATCTAATTAATGCATTCCTCCACTCCAGAAATGGCCAGCCCAGATCCTACTCTTTACAACTAATTCTATTAATCCTGTTCAACTGGTGTTTTTACCTGTTAAAGGGCAGGTTTCTTAACTTTCAGGCCATACTGTGTTCCAGGATGTGCAGAAGAGAATGTCTCAAATTCCTTCAGTTTCTGAAAACTGTATTTTCTATATTTTCCTTTCTTGAATCGTGTGCTCAAGATTTAGGGAGCAGCTTAGTTGTGATAAAACAGATTCGTGTTAAGCACCACCACCAGATTTACTCCAAAGAGCCTTGGAACATGGAGACCCAAGTACCATTGTGAACTCATTTCTTACTGTTGCTGTGACAAATTGCCATAAATGTAGTGGCTTACATCAACACAAATTTTCCTTCTTACAGTTCTGGAAATCAGAAGTCTAAAATCAAAGTGCAGACATGGGGAGAGAATCTGTTTTCTTTTTCAGTTTCTGAGGCCACCTGTATTCCTTGCCTCTTGATCTCCTTCCTCCATCTTTAAAGCACATCACTCCAACCTCTGGTTTTGCTGTCACATCTCAATTTTCTGACTTTTTCCCTTTGTCTCCTGCTTATAAAGATCCTTATGATTTCATTACGCCCACTCACATATCCACAATAATTCTTTCAACCTGAGATCTTTGACTTAATTTTATCTGCAAAGTCTATTTTACCATGTAACACATTTATTGTTTCAGGAATTAGAATGTGGACAGCTTTTGAGGGTCATTATTCTGTCTACCACAGCCTGAATCACAAGCACTCCTCTAGTAAGTGCAGACAACTTTCATTTGTTACTTCATATGTAATATGTTCCTGTAAGCTGTATGAAATGTGCATGTCTGGAAATCAAATTAATATCATATAACATGAATGGGAGAGATTTATCTGGTTCCTGAAAGCTTAATGAATAAAGTAAAATAGAATTCTCAATTATATCATAATTTCTGTACTCAATTATTAATGATACATGTCTAGCACAATACACATTTACCTTATTTTTTTCTTTCACAGTTGGAATCATAATTGATTGGCCTAAGTTTGATGAGCACCTGATTGAGATTAAAGATATGATTCACATATTTGTTTGAATTATATGAATTTTATAAGACTAATGCTAGTCCTTCAATTTTCATGTTATCTTACAAAAAAAAGGAGTAAAAAATTATTCAAATAATTTCACAAAGACCAGATCACTGTTAAACTGAACTGTTGCACAAAAGCTGTTCTCAATGATAATCTGAAGCCCCAAAATCCATTTATGGAATACACATTAGGAATATCAATTCTAACTAAGTAAAATAATAAAAGCTTTTCAAAATATAAATTGGATTTGTATAAAAATAAGAGATCTGAAGTGGATTTTTCTTGAGTTTTCTTTGTCTTGCCTTGGTTTCCCTTAAGTGATAGAAAGCCAGGTGAAACATTATTTCTTTTCTCCGGGAAAGTACGGCTAGTCTTCAACTGGGGTTATTTACAAAATCATCATTAAAATAAATAACTTAAAATCGTATTTTATTTTTCTTAAGGGAAAATTATTTAACAAAAATGGACATTATTTAAATTTCTTAGTATGGGCTCCATCCTCCGGAGATGCAGATCAGCAATCACTCCTTGCAATTAGCCCAGGATGGACGGTCTATGTTGTGGGTCCAAGCTGGGGGTTCCCTGTCTGGTGACAAGCAGTGGGGGGAGTAGGTAGAACCTGTGAGAGACAGTCTGGCCTCCTCTCCTGAAGTCAACTGCAGTTTGTTGGATGTATGGATGAGGTACTTAGGGTCTTCGCTCCTTTGTTAGTCCAAGGGTAGCAAGGGTAGCTCTACTGCAGAGGTAGTGACAGAGAGGCTTTCAGTTGTCCCTGGGAATATTGTCCAGAGTGTTACAGAGCTGCTACTTGCTCAATAGCTCTGGCAGAGGGTAGCTGGAGGCCTAGGCCTGGAGGACCTGTCCAGTGAGAAGATATGGAAATGGGCGCCCTTGTAAAAGTCTGTCCACTTTTTCATAGGGTGGCTGCACTATATTGGGAGCCTGCATCAGTCCCTAGTCACCTTAGATGTTTTATTCCCTGGAGGTATCAACAGTGAAGGCTGTGAAACAGCGAAGATGGCAGGCTGCCCCTCCCTCTGGGACTTCCATCCCAGAAATGTACAGACCTGTTGCTGGCCCAAACACACCTATAGGAGGTGGCTGGAGACCCCGGTTAGGAGGTCCTACCCAGTGAGGAGGAACAGGATTAGGGACCCACTTGAAAAAGCAGTCTGGCCACATTTTCATAGAGCAGATATGCTGTGCTCAGGGTCTGCTCTAGCCCCTGGTCAGCTTGGACTCTGAAGTCTGAAGGCTGGAAAGGCTAAGTCTACCAAACAGCAAAGATGATGGCCCACCCCTTCTCCCAGGAGCTCTGTCTCAGGGAGGTTCAACACTGCTACCAGTGACTGGCTGGAGTTCCAAGTCAGTGGGTTTCATTCTGTGAGGTGCTGTGAAGTGGGGCCTGCAGACTGTCACTGGATTCAGCCCCTTTCCTAAGGGGTGTTCTTGGGGGTTTAACCTCCTGTTCTGCCAGAGGTGCAGCTCCTTTTGATGGAAAGCCTAAAAAGGAAAATCCCACGTATCTAAGGCTCCCGGGTCTCTGCATGTGCTTAAGTGGCTGCTCTGCTGAGACTTTACAAAGCTCTTGTGTCAGACGAAGGCCCTGGTGGAGTAGGTTCATGAGGGAATCTCCTGACCCAAGGGTTGCCAAGTTCCATGGGAGAAGCATGGGTTCCCAGGGTCGTGCATTCACTCACAGCTTCCCTAGGCAGAGGAAGGTCCCCTGGCTTCATGTCACTAAGAGGTGGGCTGTCACTCTGCCTTGCTTTTCTCTGCTCTCCACGGGTCAAGTTGTTTCCTTGATTAGATCCCATGCACGTACCTGGACGTTTCAGTTGAAGGTGCTGTATTTACTCCCCCTTCTATTCCTCTCCTTGAGAGCCACTCACACTAGCTGCTTCTAGTTGGCTGTCTTGGCCACTCCCTAAGACTCTATTTTTGTTTGTTTTGTTTTATTTTGTTTTACAGCAAGCAAATAATACTAAATAGAGTTCCATTTAAATATTTGCTTTGGCCTGTATCGAAATCGAGTGCTTTATTGTAACACAGATAGTAAACATCTCTTTGCACACTTTACAACTATCCTTCCTTTATATGCAACTGTAAACGGGGCATACAAATAGTATTTACCTCAAGGGACAGATTCGCAAATAGCATGAGATTATATACATGAAATTCAGAGCCAGCACACGGTCAATATTAAACAAATCTCAACTATTTTTACTAAAAAGCAATTTTTAGAAAGCTACTCTTATGGAAGAAATGTTGACTCTGCTCTTTTTTTAATCTACTAATTGCAAACATTTCTGTTCATGGCATTACCTGTCCCACCATCGTTTCCCAGCAGGGTCCTCGAGGTACATCTGCAGGATGAACAAAAAAGGGTGGTCCAGTGCTGTTTTCAGAGAATGATGCATTGTAGGCCTTGATCATATTGGCTTCCCAAAGGGTAATATTGGCCTTAACTAGCTTCTCCTCTTCAATCTAGAAAGCAAAGAGAAAGAAAAATGAAGACAACAGAGATTTCAAAGGCATTTCTGGCAAACTTGAAACTGAGAATTGAACAGCAAGCACTCTTATGGCAAGGGCAATCCAGAAACAAGGCTTACCTTGTTGTTAATCTCATCCATTAATGCAAGAATAAATACATACAAATTGCCTAAAAGGAGAGCAAAAATGCGTCCCAGTAGCCATTTCAAAGCAATGAGAGGATGGTAGTCTTCTAGTTCAGCAAATAAGTCAAACAATGTTGGACAGAACATCCCTAAGAGGGACATAACCATGTTCATCTACAAGGAAACACAAGGAAGAAACTAGGTTAATAGTGTTTAAAAGTTATTATTGCTTTTTGCCAGAATTTCGGAAGATTCTGAGCTACGCTTCTTTGATCTTGTTTAAGACTAAAAAAGATTATTTTATGCATGTTTAGAATTTGATCTCAGTAAAAGACAAGGACAATATTCAACTCACATTTTCAAGATAGACATGTGTCTGAGTGTGTGTATGTGCCAATAGTAATAGTCTGTTTCCTGGTATAATGAGGGCAGCAATTCGTATCAATCTCTACACAGAGAACACATATTGTTCTAAGTGGTAACTGATTCTGATATGGTGACGCACTTCACAAAAAGATTTCCAAAGAAATGGAAAATGATCTGCTTGAGGAGGAGGCTCAAACTGAAAATTCTAATCTGACAATCATCAGTATATGGGCTAGTTTAATCAGTTAGAATGGATTAATTCCCTGAGATGGGCTCAGGCCTAAATACTGAATTTTGGCAAATGTATACTTTTAAGGCCAAAGAAAACCCCACATAAAATGAGTTTTATTAAAGGAAACAGAAGACATTCAGAGAAACAAACGGAGAACACATGACAATGCTATGGAAGCCAAGGTAGAAAAGTTTTCAAAAGTGAAAGAATGAGCTATAATTCCAGAGACAAGAGAATAATGCAGGGGTGGGGAGAGGAGGGAGAGAGAGAGAAGAAGGAATAGAAACATGAAAGTAAGACACATGTGCTTCTTATTTCCTGGATGTTTGGCAGCCTTATGGTGATATTATTTGGAAGTCAATAAAAAGAATTCAAAACATATACTAATTTTTTAATGGGGAAAAACAGATATAGGTGACTCTGGTGACTGTCTCCTTTTTCAAATACCTGGCTCAAATTGTCACCACTAAACATTTCCTATTTTCTCCTGTGGATTTCATGGTGTGAGCAATTATAATAACTACTGGACTATATTTAGAAAACGATTGTTATTAGATTTTTGTCATTTTAATTAAAATATTATATAAGTATGACCAACAGGATCCAAATCTCAGCATGACATAATACAAAATCAGCATGCTATAATTTTAGACTAATGTAAAGAAAATTTGGCAGATCCTGTGCAATCTTATGCAAGGTAAATTTTAATTTGGTTTCATCAAATTTGTAAAGTTACTCATGAATCTCCATTATTACCTTCATTGGCCCCCAAAACTCATAGGGTCCCTAAAATGGATGTTAAAGAGGTTCTTACAAACTATAGTTCTTTTAATGATAATCAACTACCCATCCTTTAATATAGTTCATTTATACAAAAACATAATCAATATAAATAATGCACCAAAGCTGCATGATAATGTTTCCTCCATGTACTATTATAATTATGAGACAATTTTGAAAGCAAATTTAATAAATGCTTTGAGGTATTCCTCCATTTTTCATTTTAAATAAACAAACTCCCTCTGCTGAATGACTTATATTTTATAAGTTTTCATGAAATGACTGTATATTAAAGTCTTTAAAATATCTAGTCCCATCTCTATTGGTACCATTTCTGAAATACCTAGAATGTTATTTGGAACCTGTTTTTGTAAGCAGATTATATCATTTGCTGTCCAAGACTTTTTAGGAAATTCTATGCCTATAAAGACATATTTTAATTCTTTTGATCTATATAGTTCTACAAAAGCTTCAGTGTGGGAAGTCTACACTTCCCACAGCCTAAATCTGCACACACTTTGAAAATGCCCAAGCTCAAAATGATGTCACATTATACACATAAACATTTTATGAAAGGGAACAGGCTCTAGCAACAACTCATGACCAGTGATTTTCTAATTCTAAATGATCTACCTCTAACCTCTTTTCTCTGCTCTACTAAGTGGACAGATACTCTGAAGGCAAATTACAATCATAATGTTTAATTCCTGGAAAAGAACTGGCCTTCCTCATTTGAATAGCATTTAGAGGGAGAGGAAGTGAAGTATAGGCAGGAGGAAATAGAGATGGAGATGCTGCAGTTAGGCTTCTACAGAAAAACAGAGGGAAGCCCAGACATGCCCAAAGGTGGAGAAGCAATCTGTGTGTTTCCAGTGAGATCAACACAGGAATAAGTGGCTTTATCACGGCTACTTCAAAAAATTCAGGCAACAATTTGATCTTTTACTGACAGATGAAGGATTTGGAGAAAACAACAAGAAAGAGCCTTGGACTCGAAGTCAAGACTCCTAGGTTCTCACCCTAACTCTTCTCCTAACTCTGTGACCATAAACATATCACACAATCTCTTGAGATTCAGCATTCCCATCTGTAAACATAATGATTGGACTATGTGTTTTTAAATATCTTTTCTGACTCTAATTTTCCATCATGTCACAAAATGAAAATCAGACAGTACAGATTTAGAAATAAGACTAGAAGAGAATGGAAAATGAGCAACATGATTGGTTAACTGTCAGGGCAGGATGGAGGATAGGTAAAGAGTGGCCTTTTTAAATGTTCCATCAAAGAAGCATAACCCACAAAATAGCAAATGTCAGGTTCTAAGCACATAAAAAGCATGCAGAGACGAACTTCATTTTTTTCCCACCACCCAAGGGTGTCAGGATCTTGCTGTGCAAATTCCTGGGATCGCTTCACAGCCCAAAAGATGAGGTATCCACTCCCTCCAAGTGTTAGAAACACGAAGAAGTTAGCAAGAAACCTCAGGAATCTGATCAAGTGGACGTTTTCTTCTACTTGGGCTGCTCTTTCTTCTGTTATGGCTTCCTGTATCCATGTAAACAAACAAACAAACAATCCAAAATAGAATACCTTAGCTACATTTTAAAAGTATCATAAACTCAAAAGTTACTTTTACAATCATCAGAATGTGAGGAATGACAATGTAGACTAAATCTGAGATTCTACAAACCAGGTGAATCTTGCCAAAAAATGATGTCAAGTAAGAGACAAAAGGAAGAATTCTTGCAAACAAACTGTGATTGATCTGATATTAGGATAGTCTTCATTCTAAAAATTTTCATTCCAGCGAAGCTCAAAGGCATGAAATAATTTTCTGGACATTTTTAAACTACAAAACAATGTTTTAGGGTCATTTTAAATATTATGCTTATTCCTGTAAATAATTAGTGAATATTGTTCTAGTTTTAAAAATATCTGACTCTGATTACTCATGGTGTCCTGTTTCAATCCAGTAACATTATTTTATTACCAGATTTAGAGAAGTCCTTAAGGGATAATTGTGCTGTTATGGGTCATGGAAAATTTTTCAGTAATAATCACAACCATGGCAAGATCCTGGTAGGCAGAAATCATGAGTTAATCTTTCTTGTAAATTATCAAGATACTACACTAGCTGGACCAGATGGAATGCCTCCAATTTTACATTTAGAAATACAAAAAGCAAGCTTTTGAAGTTGATGACTCTACCTTAAAGTTCATTGTGATAGAATTAAATTTGTTGTCTGCCGTCTCAGGATTGCCAATCAGGTAGTCCCAGCTGGTAAAGACTTTCCAGCTAAAATTGAAAGCGTTGTCATCTCCACCTCCATCATCACCAATGTTTTTGGTCATTCTGCAAAAACAGGAAGTTTAACCCAGCAGCCAGAAAAAAATGAGACAGGGAGAATTGAGAGAAATAAAACATGGTCACTAGAGTTGAAGTGGAGAAGCAATAGCAAAAAGACATATTTTTTAACAGGTTTGTTCTAAGGACCAGAAAATAGTTTATTTTTAAATTTTATTTTTGCTAAATTGTTTAAATGATTCAATTTCTAGGCCTTCAAGACTAATAAACTACTATAAGCACTGACGATTTAAATGATTCAAAATATATACAAAAACATATATATATATATATGTAAATATATATATATATATATTTTTTTTAATTGTAGTTTGGGATCTGGGTACATGTGCACATCCTGCGTCCTGCATGATTGTTGCATAGGTACATACATGGCATGGTGGTTTGCTGTCTCCATCCCTCCCAACCCCCATCATCTACATCAGGAATTTCTCCCAATGTTATCCCTCCCCATCCTCCCCACCCACCGCTGTCCCTCCTCTCCCCTTCCCTCCACCCCCCACCAAGCCAAAAACATATTTTTATTAAACTGAGAAAATTAGATCTTAACCTTTGGTAGGATAAGAATCCCTTTAAGAATATGATGAAAATTATTTAGTCCCTCCCCAGGGGGAAAACACCACATGTACTGACTTTTACATTGCTCCACACAACTTTAGTTGGTTTCCAGACCATCTGAAGCCTCTGGATGAACTAAACCAGGCAAAGAAACTCCTGTGTAAATTTTAATTCCCCCTAAAATGTCCTCCCAAAGAGAGATTACATTGCATACATTAAATTTCAATCTACTGTACAATTCTTGAAGAAAAAATCAACATTTTAATACAATCTTAATGCCAAATGGTTTTATATATATACATAAATCAGTGATCTTATATATATTTCAATCAGTGGTTTTATACACAAACACACACACACACACACACGTGCGCGCACACACACACACACATATATACTTGCTTGAAGAACTTAAAATGCATTTGCTCACAGGTTTATTTTAGTGGTTAGAGATCTATATCCCATTTACTCCACTTCCTTTTTTCCCTTTCACTATAAATAGCAACATTAAAATTTCATATGACACATATTATAAAATGATCCCATAAGGTTTTGGTTTTTAAAATATTATAGTCATATAAACCCCGAAGAAGAAAGGGGCTCAATGACATAAAGCTGACATTGTAGGTTGACAGGTGTCTCTAGATCATTTATGTTCCCCCACTGTTAGCCACACTTATCATGGAAGCTTATGCATTTTAATAGGCTAGCATGTAAGGAAAAACAACTAGATATCATTATTCCTTTCGTCCATCTACCAGTTTACCCTCTGCAAAGGGGGATTATGTGTATTTTTGCATTTGTTCTCTTTAAAATCTCAGCAAGAAGTCAAGGTAGTTGCTCTCGTTTTTACAGATGAGGAAGCTGAAGCTCAAAGGCATGAAATAATTTTCTGGACATTATCCAGTAGTGAAGCACAGAGACAGGTCAAGGGCTCAGATTTTCTGACTTTGCTCCAGTGTTCAAGCTAGGATACCATGAGGCATGAAAAGCCATACAAAATGCCTTTTTTTTTTTTTTAGGTAAAAATGGGTTGAAAGCAGACATTCCCTATGGTTTAACCTAGGAAGAAAATGACTTCTTTGATTGATATGCCACCATCCAATTTTTGCACTGTCATTGAGCCAAGGGCAGGGCTTCAAGTAAAAGTGGCCACTTGGCAGATAAATTTTGAATGGAATTTTATCACTGACAAAGTTTTGAGCTGAAGACAGCCTCCCTGAGAAGGGAACCCAAACTGAATAAGCAGACTGGGAAGATCTAACATTGGAACGGGTGTGAAAAGAAGTGGAATACTGAAAGGAATAAGGAAGAATGCCGAAGAGAAGCCTGCTTGCAACACATTTTGAGATATGGCCCCAATAGCTGTAAACTCTACTCTTTGTCTATAGAGCAAAATATATACATATTTATGAAAATTGCTCATTTTTTGAGACTGCTGTCATTTTCAGTGAGAAACAATCTCAATACATCATTTGCTTTGCCAGGGGAGCTGGCAAAGGCAATTTTAGCATATATGTTGTAGCCTAAGGTTTTTATACTGAATTTCTTGCCTTGGACCACAAGTTTGCAGTTCCATTTATACCCTGAGGTCATTTGGTTATTTCATGGGTATATGTGGAGGCTTTTAATAAATCAAATAAATGCCTCTTTAAATCCTAAACCAACAGGGTCACTATAATGTAGCCTCTGCTAAAATGAAAGTTGAGAAGAGGAAGGAGATTGAGAGGCAGGTAGAAAACAGTTTTCTAGAAGCCCACAGGATGAGACCACACAAGAAAAAGAAAATTACCGTAAAAGTGACACTAAACAACATGTGAACTAGTTCTCTCTTCTCCTTGGTTTTGGTTACTTATGATCAATTCATGGTTCCAAAAATATTAAATGGAAAACTCCAGAAATCAATTCATGTTTTAAGTTTTGTGATGTTTTGAGTATTGCGATGAAATTTCTCACCTTCCTACTTCACCCTGCCCAAGATGTGAATCCTCCCTTTGTTCAGTGTGGATGCATTCTGTGGATACAAAGTGTATCCATGTGGTTAGTAGCCCTCTCAGTTTTCAGGCTCGCTATTGCAGTTAGGCAATGCTTCGGTTCAAGTAACTCTTATTTCACTTAGTGGTCTCAAAGTGCAAGAGCAGTGATGCTGGCAATTAAGATATGCCACAGATAAGACATAAAGTTCTTCCTTTAGGTGAAAAAGCAAAAGTTTTTGACCTCATAAGGAAAGAAAAAATCATTCACTGAGGTTGCTAAGATCTATAGAAAGAATGAATCTTCTATCCATGAAATTGTGAAGAAGGAAAAAGAAATCAATGGTAGTCTTGCTGTTGTACCTCAAACTGCAAAAGTGAACTAAATTTTAAGTGATTAAAATTTAATTAAGATGGAAAAGTCATGAAATTTGTGGCTAGAAGACATGAACAGAAATGTGTCCCAATTGACAGTAATATAATTTGCTATCCACAGTTTCAGGCATCCACTGGGGGTCTTAGAACATGTCCCCTGAAGACAAGGGGGTACTACTACTTTAAATTATTTCCCCCCAATGATTTTTTAAAATTATTACTTTTTTCTTTCCAATTTTTATTTTAGGTTCAGAGGGTGCATGTGCAGGTTGCTTACATGGGTAAACTGCATGCCGTGGGGGTTTGGTGTACCGATTATTTCATCACTCAGACGATGAGCGTAGTACCCAATAGGCAGTTTTTCAATCCTCACCCTGCTCCCACCCTCCACCCTCACTAAGTCATGGTGTCTACTGTTCTCTTCTTTATGTCCATGTGTACTCAATAGTTAGCTCCCATTTACACATGAGAATATGTGGTATTTGGTTTTCTGTTCCTGCATTAATTCACTTAGGATAATGGCTTCTGGCTTCATCAATGTTGCTGCAAAGACATAATTTCATTCTTTTTATGGCTGCACAGTATTCCATAGTGTATATATACTACATTTACTTTATCCAGTACACTATTGATGGGCATCTAGGTTGATGCCATGTCTTTGCTGTTTTGAATAGTGCTGTGGTAAACATATGGGTACATGTGTCTTTATAGTAGAATGATTTATATTTTTTGGCATTTACCCAGTAATGGGATTGCTGGGTTAAATAATAGTTCTAAGTTTTTTGAGAAATTTTCAAACTGAAAATTTCAGCCACAGTGGCTGAACTAATTTACATTCTCACCAACAGCATCTAAGTGTTCCCTTTTCTTCACAGCCTTGACAGCATCTGTTTTTTTTGCTTTTTTCTAATAACAGTCATTCTGACTGGTATGAGATAGTATCTCATTGCGGCTTTACTTTGCATTTCTGTAGTGATTAGTAATGTTGAGTAATTATTTACATGCTTAATGGCCATGTGTGTGTCCTCTTTTGAGAAGTGTCTGTTCGGCCTCATGCTGACCTTCAGCTAATGTGACCCAGAATAGATTTAAAAAAAAAAGAGAGAGAGAGCAGTGTCTGTTCATGTCTTTTGCCCATTTTGATGGTTTTTTGTTTTGTTTCTGCTGGTTAGTTAAAGTTCCTTATAAATTATGGATGTTAGACTTTTCTTGGATGCATAGTTTGCAAATATTTTCTTCCATTCTGTAGGTTGTCTGTTTACTTTGTTGATAATTTATTTTGCTGTTCAGAAGTTTTTTAATTAGGCCCCACCTATCAATTTTTGTTTTTATTGCAATTGCTTTTGGAGTCTTCCTAATGAAGTCTTTGCCAAGGCCAATATCCAGAATAGAATTTCCTAGGGTTTCTTCAAGGGTTTTTTTTTCCTCTACAAGACAGAGTTTCGCTCTTGTTACCCAGGCTGGAGTGCAATGGTACGATCTCAGCTCACTGCAATCTCCACCTCCTGGCTTCAAGCAATTCTCCTGCCTCAGCCTCCCGAGTAGCTGGGACTACAGGCTTGTACCACCATGCCCAGCTAATTTTTGTATTTTTAGTAGAGACGGGGTTTCACCATGTTGACCATGATAGTCTTGATCTCTTGACCTTGTGATCCACCTGCCTCAGCCTCCTAAAGTGCTGGAATTACAGGAATGAGCCACCAAACCCGACCCCAAGGGTTTTTATAGATTAGTTTTAAAAGCTAAACATTTACAGTTTCAGATTTTACATTTAAGTCTTTAATCCACTTTGAGTTGATTTTTGTACATGGTGAAAGGAAAGAGTCTAGCTTTGAACTTCTGCATAGGGCTATCCAATTATTCCAATGCTATTTATTACCCATGGAGTCCTTTCCGCATTGCTTATTTTTGTGAACTTTATCAAAAATCAGATGCTTGTAGGTGTGCAGCTTTATTTCTAGATTCTTTAACCTATTCCATTGGTCTATGTGGTAGTTAATATTAGATGTCAACTTGATTGGATTGAAGGATGACTAGATAGCTGGTAAATATTGTTTCTGGGTGTACCTGTGAAAGTGTTGC